GGCACAAATGTTAAGGAATACCTAAAAGGACGTGCATACACGATTTGTTCATGCTACTACAGATTTCGAGCAGAAGACAATCCTGGCAATGCACGCATTTTTACACTTGCGTTCTACCAGAAATAGTGGTACAAACGTTAGTGCCCGTGGCCAGTGCGTCCGTTGAACTTGACGTAGTTTTAACGACTACCTAAAACATCCAATAATGACGGAGACCCGAACACCCGAAGTTTGCGAAATCTAAAACAATATAACGGAAATAATTTCTCCTTCTGCGCCCACAACAAATTATCTTAAAATCTTATATGCCATTTCAGCGTTACTATCCGTAACTTGCTCTCAACCACCAAAGGTTAACTGGAAGAAAATTCTATTTAGCATTAAGTTCACCTTTGAACAAAATTTTAGTACAATAAAGAATATACAAACAAACAAACAAACAAATGACAAACTGCGTGGCTCGTGTGTCATGGACCATATTTCCTCTTAACGATTGCGATCCAAGCAGAGGTTCGAACCTCCATCTCAGAGTTCCTTGGGTCGTGTAGAGACCCTACGATTTTGACTATGATTATGATTTTGATTATGATTTTGATTATGATTATGATTGTGATGATGATGATGCCAGTGGTTGGTCACATCCCTGTCCGCTCCGTTGTTTCTCTTTATTAATAATTAATTTAAAGAAAACACTGTGCGGCGTCTTACAAGCGAATATTGAAAGGGGTGATTAAAAAATAATCCTCGAAATTCATTTGACAGGCTCACTAATGGCCAACAAAAAACAATTCTCGATGCCCCTTTTCCCCACATTTCTGCATGATGAACTGTAAAGGCGATATCTAATGTAATTAGTTAGCATAAACATAATGGAACAATGTTATTAAACGGTTTTATTTAGCTCGACCCGTACGGAATTTGTTTGTTTTTTTGGGTCAAAATTAGAAATTGAAATTTAAGCACCTTCCCGTTGTCAGATTGATCTGAAATTTGGTACACACATTTAATTTAAATGACAATACAATATTGTAGTTTTCAGTGCACATAAAATAAAACCGTTTAACTTTAAAGTTTTTAAACGGTTTTATATTTTATATTTATGTTTATAACTTATCACATTACAAATATTTAGTGTAGTTTTTTTCTTGGTTTGTGGTGAAAAATAACAGATTATTATTATTATGTGGGAGGGTATTTATTTGTTTTCTCTTCTGGTTGGGTTTATAAATAAAAATAAAGTATTACTATAATATTTAAAGCGGTTGTGTGTACTAGTATGGAAGTCACGTGCTCCGCCGTGAAGGAAAACATCGTGAGGAAACCTGCATATTTTCGAAATAATAACAAAAAAATATATTTCGAAAACATGTGAAGTCCGCCAATCCGCTGTGGGGCCGCGTGGTGGACTATGCCCTGATACCCTCCGTATAGAGGAGGCCTTAACTTTACTTTACTTTATACTTCATTTGGCGCGTCAGGGAAAAATAATGAAAGTAAATTTTTACGATGCGCGCGCACAGTCTCGAAAAACAGACACCTTGAAGTTAGCTAGACATCTACGTATGTTTGCGTGAAAACTGACAACTGAATTCACGATATTTATTTCGTGCTATTTAAATAAACTTTATTTAGCTAGATAATGCGTTATAATAAAACTTTCAATGTATAAAATACCTTTTTTCTATTGATAGTGGCGTTTTTTCTACAAACGTAGAATAAGGCGAATGATAAAATTTTTAAAAAGATTTTTATCTTGTTATGCCAAAAAAGTATAACTTCTAACGCGTGTACATAAGTACACACTCACTTTTTTTTTACAGAGCAACCAATAACCGCAATTCCTCGTACGGACATGCCTTCGTTTCACCATGAAATTAAAGGGGTGTGGGTTTGATTCTTTAGGGTTTTGATGTATGTTGAATAACACTTAAAAAAGAATATCTTTAAATTGCCTTCTCTACTAACAGGAATGTGATAAGCTACAATCTTATGATACTTTAAGAAGGAGGTTTCTAAAGTTTTATGTTTGTATATTTTCTCATGTTTTATTTATATCATATGAATATAAAAAATGAACTGCATTTGGAATATTTCAATAGTTTTATTTACATTCTCCACTTAAAATACCTACTAATGTTAAATTGAGCAATTGTAGGAAAACGGTCAGTTTTACGCCGCTGCTATGCGAATATAAAAGTATACATAGAATTTAATATTAAATGTAAAAGAATTAAAAAAATATAGTAATAGACTGGGATTTCTCACCATAGTATTTGGATTTGGTTTTCAGTTTCTCTTTTGTGGTAATAGGAAAAATTGCAAGTTTGGTTTACATTGTGATAAGTGATTACCATCATAGTTATGGGCCTTAGTTACCTTATCCACCAGACAACACAAAAGTGCAAACACTTCCACATTTCAGTCATTAGTGAGTATCTGGTGCTTTTGAAAACACAGAAACAAAGACAAAGAAAATGGAGAAAGGCCTTAGATAATTTGGCAGTTTTCTTAACTATGATTGTGACAAAAATAAATTACTAGATTTGGTCATATGACTATGAAAATGTAATGTTTTAATACTGACCAAACTGCTTGCTAACCACATACACACACACACACACATCAACATTTAAATATTTATTGTTACATTAAAGTTTCTATATCGCCCCCCTAAGTTGTAGAGTGATATTAAATACCCTATAACCTTCTAGAATCGGGCTCTCAAATGTAAAAAAAATTTTTCTAATCCGACTGGTAGTTCTACAGCGTGTCGTTACCACCGCGACAATAAATGAACACACATACAGAGGATAACTTTTTAAAATTGTATTTAACATTTACATTCTTTGAACATCAATATTTACAGAGTTATTAAATTTTCCAAAACAAACAATTTTAGAACACCCTTACGTATAAAACTGTAACGTAAAGTTCATTTGTAAAGGTCAAAAAGCATATGAATGGGTTAAATGAATTTAAAAGAGACAAAACATACTGTTAGAAGGAGAGGCTTGTAATGCGACGCTGTGCCACGAGTTGTATAGGAGGTTACAAATTTTGTTTCTTTTTTACTTAATTAGTTTATTTGAAAAATATTTTTTTAATTATGGATTTTGTTTAACGTTAATATATTTTTTGGATTATTAGCAAGTAGCGTTAGACGTGTGTTCATTTATTGTCGCGATGGTAACGACACGCTGTATAGATTAGGGTGTTAAAAATACAAACAAACAAACAAAGAATAATTTATATGTGGTCAGAAATTGTCTGAAAATGTTTAACAAGACATTCAAGGCACTTGATAGGGCGAAACAGTTTTCATGTAATCCTTAAAATAGCTGGTGTTCTCAAGCCAAATCATTACTCTAACATTTTGCTGGCAGCAACATCTGTTGTTATATTCAAGTAAAGCCTGAAAATTTATTGCATTACATTGTTTTCTAATGAATTACAAATTATTATTGAAATTGTTTAAAGTATTAACCTTTGTTTATAAATATTATTACTAAAAATAATTATAAGGAAAAAATAACAATTTCCTAGGAATCATTTTCATTGAATTTGATAAAGGCTGTGATTAAATTTTGAATTTGATAAAGGGTGTGATTGCTAAGAGTTTAAATAAAGCAAGAGCCAAGTACTGGTTCATTAAAAATATTAATTGTAGATTGAAATTATGAAGATTTGATTAATCTTAACTCTTGTACATTTGTTTATTTGTTGTTGTTGTTTTCTTGTTCATTGAGATGAACAAGAGGGAAAAACATACTGAACAAGTTTCTCTTTTTACATGTGTGTACATTTATTCTGTTCTTAATGCTGTATCATCATTGTACAACATTAAAAAAGGGAAAACTAGAAGTCAAATGAAGGGTTTTGTTTTTCATCATGCAGCAATATAGATTAAAATATAAAAATTATTTCTATGTTTGAGCAACAATGTAATCCAAGAAGTATATAAATGATTAAGTAAATACCATAATTTAAATGTTATACTTCTTACTTTTTTACATGTTATTCACTGATCAATTAATGTAAAGCAGAAGTGTAGACTTTTACACAATGTAAACAATTTATCGATCATCGAGCTTATTCCTATCTATCCCAATTTCATATTATTTGGAATTTGTTTCGGTTAATTCCAGATATTACTACACATTATTCTGCTCTGTGCATAATTTTTTAAGAATTGAAAAAACATTGTACTTTAAGTCATGTCATTCTTACCACACTTGACTAAATATTTGAGTTAATCAAAATTGTGTTGAACATTTTACTACAAAGAGAATATTCTATTAAACATCAAGTAGCATCAGCGGCTTTAGAAATAAAACCAATGTGAATGAATACTAAAATGGTAAAATGAATAAAACTCTAGTAAAAAAAACTGCACCAGAATGGGTATTTTAAGTAATAAACCTTTGGTCAACAATAGACATGACCATATTGAAAAGGTTGCAAGAAAACTAGTTACTACATTTTTGTTTAGGGCACAAAGAAAATTTAGATACACTATTTCCTTTAGTAAATTACATATTAAGAAAAAAAATATCATGTAATAATAATGAAGTATTAATAGCAAATTAAGCATTATAAAGAATTAACTTTGTCATTAAATTACTGAATGGACAAATCCTAACTTCAGGCTGCCATTTCATTAGAGGAGAGACCTTGCACGATATCGTCAGATTATTATTAAATTAACAGCCTATTTATGCACAAAGGCAACGCAGTTCGAATATAAAGCCGAATTAAGCCATAAATGCGTAGTCATCATTAATATTTGTGTGTTGTTACAAAATATACGATCAGCTGATTTCTTTGTTTGACGAATGCCACAGATTTTGTCTGGCCTAACACAGAAATGCTGACATGTCATCAACTGTTATGTGAGTAAATAGTACGATGTTATCCCTAGAATACAATTACAAGAGTTTATGCTTTATCACGATAAAGAATTTTGCGAATAACTCTCATAAACAAACCTTGAAAGTTCCTACCTTTGTAATGCACTCGGAGATTATTTTGCGACAGGCCGATGTAGCTGAACTTGTCTTTTGTGCTCCATGATCTAGGTAGAGGAGTCTCATCTTCATTCACATTAGGATAAAGTAATTTTAAACGATCTACTGTATCACTTTGCACTTGATTTTGGGAATCCATCGTCCCCCGTCCACTACCTATCGCAGCCATTTCTAATTTCGGTAATTCATGCCTGTTCTGTCAATGACGTCACATCCATTGTTTGCGTTTAATACCCGCAGATGGCATTAACATCGACATCATAGATAAATCATTAAAATACGATTGTATACAAAATTATTGCTTGTTTAAAAATATTTTGAGCAACAGTATTAACTGAACTCTTAAACCGCTTTAGACTTTTTGCTCGTTAATTGTCATGAGATGCCAAGAAACTTGGAAGTAAACATATTTTTGAACACACTAAGATAATCACTACAGTAACTATTAAATACCAGATAAAGTTACAAGTGAACACAATGTACAAAAATTGTAATGTTAAATACCTTAACGAAATTAAAAAAACAGTGGCAGAAAAAATTAAACTTATAAAACCACCCAATGATCTAATAGAATCCAAACAACTGTATTATGATGAAATTTTAAAGGCTTGTCTTTTCCCACCGTCTCTTTTCTAATATGTTATTTATATTTATATGACTGTAAAATAATTTCATACGTTTCAGATCTATCGGGATGCTTTTAAAAGTTTAATTGGATATTCAGTAACGTTTTCTTCCCTGTTAAGTGAAATTAAAAACGCATACGAATGTGCATTAAAGATAAGGGACGAACGTGTTTCACAGTTTATCACCCAAGACGTGAGTATATTCAGTATACGTTAATTTTAACTTAATTTTTGTCATTACTAAAATTTTAAATACGTGCTATACAGCGTGTCGTTACAAACGCGACAGTAAATTAACACACGTCTAAAGCTACTTGCCAATAATCATAAAAAAATATAAAATGTTAAAAAAATCCATAATTAAAAAGAATATATTTTTCAAACAAACTAATTAAATAAAAAAGAAACAAAATTTGTAACATCCTCCTATGCAACAACAATTGACTGATTCATACATTCAGACACTTTTTCATTCGTTGCCTTCACTACAAATCACTCCTTCTAACAGTATGTTTTATCTCTTTCAAATTCATTCAACCCAATCATATGCTTTGTGACCTTTACAAATGAACTTTACGTTACCGTTTTATACGTAATGGTGTTCTAAAAACTTGAAAATTAAATAACTCTGTAAATATATATGTTTAAAGAAAGTAAATTTTTAATACAATTTTAAAATGTTATCCTCTATATGTGTGTTCATTTATTGTCGCGGTTGTAACGACACGCTGTATACGGAAATTAAAACTCATATTGTGCCATCTAGCAAATCGAATACTTATTTTCTTATTTGAAATTGGTGGACTGCGCGTGTCCTCAAAATATTGTTTTTTTTTGCTATTATTTCAAATTTATGCATGTTTCCTCACAATTTTATTCTTCACCGCTGAGCACTTGACATAAATGATATGACTTAAATTTTACAATTTTATTGGTGCTGGCATTGGGATTTAAACTCAATGCTCATGCTCAAGTATGCAGTGCCGAATTAACCAACAACAGTAGCAATAGCTACAGGCCCCGCGCCAAAAGTTGCCCCGCATATTTAAACCTACTCATCTCTGTCTAAGCGTATTTTTTTGAGTGAAACTTATTAAGTAAGTAAGGGTATTAAATTGTTTTTTTACCATTTTATACTTAAGAACCCATTGCAGATCAAGGGCTGTTTGAAAGAATTTGCTACGGGCCCCGCACTTGCTTAATTCGGCACTGCTCACAAATACATACATGCAAAATTTGAACAGGTTCGATCAACCCCATGACAAGATAACTTATATTTTATCGCTGGTAAAAATAAAGCTGATTTATATCGATAAATGTATTGAAACTTATCGATAATTTAATATTTTTTGCCCATGGGCCATAATGTTGGTTTTTTTTTTTATGCGAAAAGTTGTCAAACGAGCAGACGGTTCACCTGATGTTAAGTGAATACCGCCGCCCATGGACATCTGCTACACTCGAGGGTTACAGATGCGTTGACAACCTTTTGAAAATTGGGCTCCGGCTACCTCACTCACCAGACGAAACGCGAAAGTATTTGTCATACTTCCACTTTACGCCGGTCTTCTGTGAGGTCGTGGTACTTACCCGGACGGGCCTGCCCATTCGTGCAACAGCCGAGGCTGCTGCGTGGCCCTACCACCGTAATTGACCAGGTTGACAATAGAATGTTAGTAGGGATGCCGAAAGTCAAGAAATATATCGATATATTGATATTTATAGAAATATCAATATCGCCCTCGATATATCGAAAAAAAAATATCGATATATCGCGCAAATTTTCAATTACAAAAAAATATTTAGCTCAGTCTGATTCAATAAGTAATAGTAATTTTCTATACCAAACATACATTATAGTAATATCTTAATTTCTAGATATAATATCGAGCAAGACTTTAATTAGAAACAAACATAATGAAAACTATTTTTTAAATTTGACATTGTATAATGAAAACTTGATATTATATTATAAATGTGACACTTAATTATTATTTTTTTACTTTTATTCTAATATTAAAGTAACTTCAATAGCGGTATTACATTAATATTTTGCATGTTATTTATAAATTAGCTTAACATGTAATTCAATATTAATGATTTGTTATACTTTTATATTGTTTTTTTTCGTTAATATTTATCTTTTATGGCTTTGAGTCTGTTAATAATCAGCTGAATTAAATTTGAATAAAAGTATCGTTTTTGATACGATTTCGAGATTCAATTTATTATATCGATAAATCTCGGCTAAAAAAACCGATATATCGATATTTTTTCAGCATCCCTAAGAGGTAGCCTTAATGACGAAAATGAAAAAATATATCGATATATGTAAAAATATAAATGTCGGCCTCGATATATCGATATATTGATATTTTCTTTTTAAGCTGTATTCAAAAAATACCTTATGCCAAGTATTAAATATTTGAATGTACGGACTCTGTACCGGATATAAAAAAAATACAATTTCGATATTGAATATTATATATCGATAAATCGGATCAAAATATATCGGCTAAAAATATCGATATATTTTATAAAAAATATTCGTATATCGATATTTTTTCGACATCCCTAAGTAGCGAAGGAGGTAAACATTTATGGACTTATTTAATATTTACTAATTTACTATAAACATAGAGAGAGTTAAATGGAACGGCAAAAAGATAATGTGGTGCTGGTTCTCGACGGTGGTTTCTCGTCACAAATTGCATCTCATGTTGGTTGAACAGCAGATGGTGATCCTCTGTGGAGTGCGAGGTTCTTACAAACCAACCCTGAAGATGTTTATCACACGCATTTGGATTTTCTTCGGGCTGGTGCTGATGTCATTTCTACTAATACGTACCAGGCCTCAATTGGCGGATTTGTCAAACATCTTGGTGTAACTCCAGAAGAAGGTTTAGCATTTATTCAGCATGCTGTTGACCTTGCTAAGCGTGCCCGTGACACTTATCTTGACGAGAATTATCGGTCATCGTCGCGAAAATTACAACCATTGGTAGCAGGTTCCGTCGGTCCGTATGGCGCTCATTTAAATGACGGCTCAGAATATCGTGGCAATTACGCTGATAAAGTTTCCAGTGAAACCATTGCAGAGTGGCACATTCCTCGAATAAAAGCTTTATTGGAAGCCGGCGTAGATTTGCTGGCTATTGAAACAATACCATGTCTTAAAGAAGCCGAGGTCCTTGTTGACATGCTAAAACAATTTCCAAAAGCTAAGGCTTGGCTCTCATTTAGCTGTAAAGATGACAAAAGTCTAGCTAATGGTGATGATTTTCAAACAGCAGTAGTCAAGTGTTGGGATGCCAATCCGGATCAATTAATTGCAATAGGGACTAACTGTTGTGCTCCAAATGTGGTTTCCAATCTATTTAGGGGCATAAACAAAAATAGGAAAGAGCCAATACCTTTTGTGACTTACCCAAATTCTGGTGAAAAATACAGTCCAGAATTGGGGTGGACTGACAAAGACAATTGTGAATCAATTGATAAGTTTGTTTATGAATGGTTACATTTAGGAGTAAGATACATTGGAGGATGTTGTAGAACTTGTGATGTAGACATTTCTCAAATAAGAAATATTGTTAATACATGGAATTCTAAACTTTAAATACTGATTATTTAGTAATGAACTTCTACAACCATACAATGATTATAAAAACACTTAACATCGCTATGTGTATTAACTGAATCTTTAATTTAGTACTTTTGAAAAGTGTAAGACTGAACATTTTCAGAAAATATTTGGAATATCCATTAGGAAGAAACAAAGAGATGATAAAATTGACATGTTGTCCAATCAAAATACTGAATTGAAAAGTGCCAATGTTAAATTAACTTTAGAGAAGGCAAGATTACAAAAAGAAATTAGCAAGGTTTGTTATTATGGTCTTTTCTAAGACTCTGTTGTCTGTGTCTGTCTGTCCGTCGGTCACCAGGCTGTCTCATTAACCGTGATATTTGAAATTTTCACAGATGATGTATTTCTGTTGCCGCTACATAAAACAGAAAAACAGAATAAAAAAGTATTTAAGTGGGGCTCCCATACCACAGACAGGATTTTTTTTCGTAGTTTTTATAGATACTGGTATAGAACCTTTAGTACGCAATTCCGACTCACACCTGTTTGTATATTTTTGTTATTTACAGAATTATTTAATGTGTATATTGTTATAAATCCTACTTATTGAGTCTATTAATATTGACTGTTTGTTAATTCTCATATTATATACATACATTAATTTTAATTTTCAAGTTTATCGGAATTTCGTTTTAGTTTTATGTTTCTTTATATCTGATTTTAATAATTATATTTTCAATTATCTGTTCCTTACCATTTATATGTTAGGTGTGTATAAAATTTTGTATTTGCATGAATATATAACGTGCATACATTCTGCATTACACAATTTGTATGTTGCTAAGTCAAACTATAATTTTGTTAATAATATATATTGAATAATAAAACACAGGTTTTAATTGAGGACACAATATCAAGAAGTATGAATATACATGTAAGGAGATTTGTTATTATTGCAAAAACAAATGCCAATTTAAAACACTAGATCCTAGTGGATCAACTAGTTTTAGGTCATGTTGGAGAAGAGATGCTAATTATATGAACTTAAAATTCTTTGCAACTAACCATTTGATTACTCCATAAAATAAGCAGAAGGCAGGAAGAACTAAACATCGTATAAATTATCCAAATACACATACATACTTCAATTTAAATCAAAACACTGACTAAAGATTTGCTTAATTTATTAATTACTAAAATTACTACCTCAAACTCTGAATGATTTACGATATATGTGAAACATGTAATATCACACTTGATTTTAGATTCTAATATGATTCAATTTAAGATCTCATTGCGCCTCTGATTTTATTCTTCAATTTATTTGGACATTTAAAAAGTATATAAGTACTTAAAATGTTACATCCATGTACTTATTTTTATAAAATTGTCATTACAACATCAACTTTAATGTTTAGTGAACTTTACTTTTATGTTTATCTCGGAATGGAATTTATGGAAAGCAATGCATGTAATGCAAGAAATGTGATCCAATCAGTGTGTAGATAGTGAAACAGTGCTTGAGGTTGTGGGATTTTACTCTGATGAGCACAGTGTTTTTCTGGTGTTGGGGTGTTTATATACCTACAATATGAATTTATTTACGAACTATAAGTATTTAAGTACCCTTAGTACAAGATTTGCTCAGTTAACAACTAGATAACGTTTTGTAAAAACATGTCCTAATATATTATATACTTATATAATGCTTAAAATTTCAATTACATAATTTTATTTATTATATTTATATATATTATATGGGGGAGGCCTATGTTCAGCAGTGGACTCAAACAGGCTGAAATGATGATGATGATATAAATGGAATTGACCTACTTTAAAAATTGTGTACTTTAACACAAAACAACCTTTACAACCTAGATTAACCCGAAGGCGACTGACGTTCGCATCCGTTATCCTAGACCCGAAACACCAAAAGCGCACGTCTAAGTAACAATCGAGTTATCTCAGTGACTTTTTTTATGCTAATGTTAAGTGAATACCGCCAACCTACGACATCTACAACCTGACCTTATTGCTGGTGTCGGCCCTTATTGTGGCAATCAATGGAGCAGTCTATGAATCGGACAGAGTTAGTAATTTAACGAGGCTGTGCCTGATGATAATCAGTGCTTGAGATCCCTAAAAATAGATTGATTTAATCCACGAAACCCCTACCGAGATACTCGCCCAGAGAATGTTTGAATAAGAAGATGTTAGGAAATTAGCAGGGACCTAAAACTTATCGTAACAATAAAAAAGATATAACTAGTAGTTTTCAACGATAATTGAATGTGAATGGTAATTGCCGATAAAAATATGTCCAAATCGAATTAAAAAAAATATTTGTTTTTTTTCCATGGGTCACGAACACGATCCCATGATCACACCCGCGGCTGTTTACAAAACAGCAAAAGTTAATTTCAAATACTTTGTTTATATAGTTATATATTACTAGCTGACCCGGCAAACGTTGTTTTGCCATACAAATTATAAAATGTAGGAATGAAAAATAGATGTTGTACGATTCTCCACCCTGGCCGATATGCACACAAAATTTCACGAAAATCGGTCGAGCCGTTTCGAAGGAGTTCAATAACAAACACACGAGAATTTTATATATTAGACTAGCTGCTGCCCGCGATTACATCTGCGTATAGGGGTGAAAATTTAGGGTTGTATTTATTTTTGTATGCTGTATCATAAAAAAATAAAAACAAAAAAAATTATATAAAAAAAATTTGGGGTGGACTAACATTTAGGGGGATGAAAAATATATGTTATGCGATTCTCCACCCTGGCCGATATGCAAACAAAATTTCACGAAAATCGGTCGAGCCGTTTCGGAGGACTTCAATTACAAACACCGTGACACGAGAATTTTATATATTAGATTTAAGGTCGGATATATTCAAGTAGGTAAATCAGTGGATTGCAGTAGGTACATCAGTCATTACAAATACTATTTTTACTGTCCTATAAGAAGACGATCCAACTAGTATCTCATTCATTAGACAAAAGGCGAAAATATATAGGTTGGTCATATGTTATTCCTTTTGCTGACACATTATGTTAGCAGAAGCTGCTGTGTACCAAATGAACGTATTGGATATCATTGCAGTTGAAAGACGATAAATTCGCCGAATATCTTATGTTAATGAGAGAGCGAGACGCACGATACACCTTATACCATGAGAATTTGACCCTCGAATTGAAGATCAAGGAGCTGATGAATTCTGCAGAGTGCCACCAAGAGCGTGGCGATCCAGTAGTGCTCCGAATCGCTCTGGACCGTTGCCGGTATCTGCCTTTGCATTTTATTTATTTATATAAAGATTTATCTTTATTCAACTCTATAAATGAAATCTATTTTTTTAAATTCATTATAATATCTCCTAAATGCGTCTTCAACAAACTTCAATTTGACCCCGGTCAAAATTTTCAATAAGATCCGCGCTTGATTTGTTTGTGAAAGACCAAATTTATTTTAGCGTTATGAAAAAATGTAAATAGTTATAGTATGTATATTTTAACCAAAGTCATATCTTTTCGCCTTAAATGGATATTTAGTGGCAGATAGAGACATCCACGTTTCAACAAGATTGCAGACACGGACAAGCGGCAGAAACGGGGGCAAGCTGCCCACCGTACAATAAATTGTTGAGCCAGTAATTCTATGCGTAAAGTTTAAAGGCTACCACGCAACATATTTTTAATCATTTTAGGTTTCACCTCTCACGATGTGTCACTTGTCGATAAATGACTCCTCCGATGTTTAAGAGCCCATGGGCGGCGGTGATCACTTACCATCAAGTGGTTGATCGTTTGACTCTTTTTTCATAAAAATATTATATACCCGGGTTCTAAGTTCGATTGTAACTATGGAGAAATTCTTTTTTAACAATAATTCTTGCACGACCCGTTGGCGTCGGGAGAAGTGCTGCCTCTTGCGCCAGAGGGTGTGGGTTCGATCCCCTATACTGGCAAAACACCGTGTGATGAACATATTGTTTTTCTAGTATCTGGATGTGTATATATGTACAATATAAATTTATTTACAAAAGAAAAGTATGTTTATCAGTTTTGTAGTCCCCATAGAAGAAGCGTTGCTCAGCTTTGGACTAGAGAATGTTGTGTAAAAATGTGTCCGAGAATGTTATGTTATAATCAGGGAGCAGCTGTCGGCTACACAGGGCAAGCTGACTAGAATGACCGAGGAGTACTCGGAGACGGTGCCGCGACGCCAGTACGACGCTCTGGAGAACGGCCACCTGGAGCTGGGCAAGAAGCTGGACGCGCTGAGGACTGAGTATGAGGCGCTGGAGAGCAGCTACAGACGCTTGGCAGGTGAGCCTCGTCATCATCAGGTCGATGGCTCTGTTGAGCTAAGAAGGCCACAATTAAGCCGGACTTGAGCAAGTGCAACGTGGGTTTTTAGTGGGTATCCCAGTGTTACTCGGGAACTCCCACTTAGCCCCGCTGCCTACCAACAAGGCGGTGGGGGATCCATAAAAGATTTTTCCCGCGTAAAAAAAGCCGCTAAGTCCAAGGTCACAGCGTGCCAGTTAGCATTTTGATTCACGCCCGCTATATTGAGCAATGCATTCGATAGCTCACTGGTCGATTTTTAGGTCTCCACGAAGCACCAGAGATGCCAGGATACAATATTGACCGCGCAAGCCAAAAATTGATAAATAAAGTAAAATGGATAAGTAAGTAAATTAACAGCATATACATACCGCTAGACAAAGGCCTTCTCTGTACAGAGGGTATCAGGGCATAGTCCACCACGCGGCCCCACTGCGGATGGGCGGACTTCACATATGTTCGAAACATTTTTTTTGTTGTTGAGATGCACAAGCTTTTATTATATATTATTATGTACATTATTATATTACATATATTATTGCGCTTTTTGCTCAAGATTTTTGTAGTTCCCAAATCGTTCTTTATTATCCGTTCTCCTGTTCCTTATCTCATCTAGGTCGAGTCGAAAAAGCTAAATCACACTACCTAGGGTACCTACACTAGGTGGTGTGATTCAGCTTTTTCGACTTCATAGTTTATTTATGAAATCCGCCTTTCTGACGTTAACCCTCTTCGGGAATAAACACCCAGTTTCGAAAAAATTATCTATGTGGGGAGGGAGTGTACACAAATACTTGTAGGAGTCGAACCCACGACTCCCGCAGCTAAAACCAATGGCTTAGAAACAGCGCAAGCGAGACATCAAATTTCAATATTACTTAGTGGTTCCCAATGTGCGTTTGTCGTGCCCATGATAAAACCTACTTCGCTGTAAAGGCAATATTTAAATTTTTAGCACAAAAGAAAAGCCTCCAGGAAGAATTGGTAGAGATCAAGGAAAGATGCCGTGAGTTGGAGAGAGCTGGTACCCCACGCCCGCAGTGGGAACTCTGCGCCGACTTTATTGGCGGTGGAAGAGATAGGTGCATACCATTTTCATCTTGTTTCTAAAAATAAATCTCGGACTCCCATACAAGGGATCAGTCATTTTATCACTAGGAGAGCCCTATCTTCTTTTTAATATATATCATTATCTTGAGCTGTGGGGATGTCCTACATACATAAATTTGACGTGGAGAAACACCCATACCCGAAACAATCATCTGGAAGTCACAAAAGTAGTTGTCCTGTGTGGGAATAGGACCCGCGACCCCTAGCGCCGAAGCCCAAACTTTGGCAACTGCGCCTCAAAGTCACCACTTCTATCTATGTCTACAGGTATACAAATGTACTCTGTGTTCTTTCTGATACTGTATGATAGACTGTAAATCTAGGGCTTAGAGAAAGAGGTGCTAATATTATTATATGGGGGGATATTCATTTGTTTTCTCGTCTGGTTGGGTTTATAAATAGAAAAAACATATATATATATATTGCATATATAAAATAAATATTATAATTAAAAATAAACATATAGATATAAATATAATACAAACATAAATAGGACCCAACCAGACGGAAGTCCTCGGCAGGGGAGGCCGCACGGCCGAGGGTTAGGGCGTAAGGATAATATAGTATAACGTCTTGGGATGTCTCCATACAGCCTTTTCATCATTAATTTTTTGACAATTTTCGATTCTTAATCACTGAAAGCCTCTCTCTCCAGTCCAGAAATTATAATGTGATTTTTCATTGACATAACTTATCTATTACACGCAGATAAAGCGTAAAATAATATATTTTTTTAATTTACAATAATGTGGATTATATGCACCGTTATAGATGGTGGCAACTGGCAGGAGGCCTATCCTCTAGGAAAATTCTGATGGTGCTGCTGAAGGAGCTAGGCCCCGCCGCGGAAACAGAACATCTGGAGTATTTCGACGGACTCGTAATATTACTTAAAACACTCAAACATTGTAGTAAAGTTAAAGTTAACGAATTAAAAATTTCAAATGACACTGCAATCCCAAAACAGGGTACAGATCCAGCGATACCGCCGTACTTACGTTACGAGGGAAAAGTGCGGAACCTGCGCTTGTCACGACGCGAGATCAGCGTCGTAGTCAACGACATTTGGAGCAGCAAGTTGCAGAAAGACCGCGACACCCCCATGCAGGAGTACGTCACCCGCTACTTCGAGGAGAGGTGGGTGCTGGTGATGAGTGCTGACGCTGGTGGACTTGCCAATCAAGTTTTGGAGCTAAGCACGCAATGACAAAGGAGATTGGTTGCAATGAGAACGAAAGCGAAGGACACTAGCAAAGACAACTCGCAGCGAATTGCGCTTCGGTCCTAACACTTTATTTAGAAATTAATTGTTTCCAATTTGAACACATAATAAATGTTCTCTCAAATTGACATTTTGACGTGACAGGTAACACCAGGCGCTAGATTGGATGCATAACAAAATCTGTAGTATTTTTTATAGTGCTAATCCCTGCACTTAAGATTGAACATTAAAATTTGTAGAAAAATAAGAAAGTAGAAAATTTTCTTCAAATGCTAAAAAACAATGTAGATAAAAGACGTTAAGATTTTTGTCGATGTGGCAATCAGCCGTTTACCTTAGTGGCTAAAGTGTCAAGGCGCGAATGCCGAAGACGTGGGTTCGATTTTCACAGCGGCGACAATCTTTTCTTACTTTTTCAGTAGTATGAGGTTTAGAAATAGATCTTATATGTAGCTAGACGTGAAAGCGTCAAAAAGAAACTTCGGTTGTGCGGTCAGGGTGTTTTTCATGTTGAGAATGGGTTAGATCCTTCGATATTGAAATTATAGAAGTTGTTTAGCGAACAGGCCCTGTAGTCTCGGGCTCATAGAGTACGGCCTGCCGTAAAAGGCGACTAAAAGGTGGCACGGACCGGTAACAGTACGACGTGGCCTTGAAATAGTGCAAGGTGGGGGGCGGTGGGGGGCGCAGGTACGGGCAGGCGTCGGTGCGCGCCGAGTGGGCGTACAGCGTGTGCGCGGGCGCAGAGCAGGCGCTGGACGAGCCGTCGCTGCGCCTCTTCTGGGGCGCGCTGCGAGGCCGCCTCTGCCAGCGCGTCTACTGGGCGCACCGGCGGCAGTGCGCCGCGCTCAGCGGCGCCCTGCGGGCCAGGGCCACGACTCGTCTCCAGACCGTGACGATGGAGGAGTTCCAGAAGGTGGCCAAAGCTACGTTCCCCCTGAAGAGCGAGGTCGACATCAACAATCTGGCGGACGTCGTTCGCAAACAGCTCAAAATGAAGATCAATCAGAACGTGATCGACCTAGATAAACTGTTCTATGAGGTATTTATTTCTCTTTGTGTGCTCGTTTTTCTCTGAGATTTCGTATTGCGCACATCGGTTATAGTTTTCCTTAACGTGTTATATAGATTGAAAGAAATTTGCTAATTTTTATTTTCATAACACAGAACGAGGAAGGCTTCGACCGGTTGGATATCGCCAGGGAACTGTTCAGGCAGAAGCAAATGGCGCAGGACAAATACATCCGTGAAATCATAGCGGAATTAGGCGGGAGGCGCGCGCTCAACAAGCTGATCAGTGTTGACAACCTAAAACGCGCCTTTGCTATCGTCGATCCGGCCATCGGTGAGTGTGAAAAGTTCGATAAAAGATAAGATTATAATTTGAAAAAGTCATCTGAAACCTTAAAAACTTATAGTGCCATCTAGAGGGTTTTCCTGCGCTGGATAAGTTCTCTTTTATACCTAACTTTGAATTAGTGACCAAGACGACATATTTCATTTGCCGTTGACACAATAGGTATGACGCTGACATGGTGACTTAGAAGAATTCAACACCGTAAGAATTGCGGATAGTACGAAAATAGCGGTCGCTGTAAGAAAAATACAATAAGTCTCACATTACGACGTTACACGACCGTGCATACTGTAAAGTTTGCAAAACGTTGAGAATTTCATAATAAAAAAAAAACAAAGAAAAATTTTACGTGAGCTGAAAATATTTTACTTATATAATATTCGAGTAAAAACAAGAAATCATTAGGTGCCAGACAATGAATGCGCAAAAAAAGTTCTATCCCTTTATTCGGCAGACCACATCCGAATGGAGAGCAACATCCGCTGGGCATTCTCTGACGAGACGTCGGAGCTGGGCAGCATCTGTCCAGTCCCGCTGCGCACTTTAGTGGCCAGGCTGGCGGCGGGCAACATCGAACGGGTCGGCCCCCGCCACAGACGGACCTACCACAGATAGATTATTCGTAGCAAAGTTCTCGTAAAATTGAATGATTAAATTACTTTAATAAAATATATATCACCATATTTATCTATTCAATTTCTGCTAAAAGGGATATGTAGGATAAAATAATTTATTAACCTTACGTAATCTATGCTAACTTTCTACGATACAATGCTACTCGAAATATCTTCCTATTTTTTAAAGCAATGCTGAGATGGTTTTAAAAAATTGCCAAAAGATGACATTAGTTTCGTCTTAAAAACTTATTAGTTTCGTCGATCTTACTACCCCCGTCGCTGAAGCGCATACCATTATTTCTCTTACTCTTATCAATTGTACAGAGTTAAAATTACATTGTAAAAAACGGTACAGCTACTTGACTAAATGTGGCTGGGCCATGAAAATAAACAAACACATAGTGAAATTGTAGCATATTTCCATTTCATGCACTTAAATAGCTTAAAATATACATATGTTTATATAATAATCATGTTGTTAGCCTTTGGCTTCGGTAATAAGGGTCGTGGGTTCGATTCCAACATGGGGTATGATTTCGCTTTTAGCCCGTAGGCTATTTAGCTCTGGGTCATTGGATACAGAGCTTAGTTAAAAAGGTACGCGTAAAATTTCCACGTACCGGGCAGACTCTACTTTGAGTACGGTAATTTAAATTGGTGTTAATCGTTTACTGGAAGTCATGAAAACCAACTTATAACATAACTTATGTTACCATACACAACGATTTGATCTCGCCGTGCTTTTAAACGGGGACAAATAACAATGCATTGCATACTATCAGTAAATGTATTGTTTTTGTAAATTCCGTTTAGTCAAGAATACTTTTGGCCTCTATCTCGATTTCTACGATGATCAGTGTTTCAGAAATCGGTTAGTCTAAAAATGTCTCATTCCTGGGAGTAGTTACTGAATTAAACTCTGACCATCGCCCAGTCAAGTTATTGCTAGCCTGCCTGGACTGGCGCGGTTCTAATGATTAAGGTCATGACTTTCTAGAAAAAAATTACGCAAAGAGCTCGAAGCCACGAGAGGAGCTCGTAGCGTAAAGATAAAATTGCTGATAAGGTAGAATGTCCGGAGACCACCTTGGCGGTAATTTCTGATCTCCTACATCCAAACAGTCGTCAGGCACTCTTGCGAGCTTATCATTGTACCGAATAATTTCCGCTTCAATGGCGGAGAATATCAAGTGTTAGTTGCGGGAGAAAAACATTTCACCCGTCCCACCCGTGCTACCTGTTCTTTCGACCGATATCGCACTGATTCATATCTTCAACAGTATACGCCACCTCCAAACAGAGGAAAAGATCGCGTGCCCCCTGCACGAGTAAAAAGATGGTACACTAATGGAGAATATCTCACCGTTACATAATGTCTACTGGCAGTTAATGAGATCATTATTCAGAGAATGTATCCTTGATGCTCCCGCTTAATCTGTTCGCAAAGCGTTCAAAGAGGACGAGAAGGCCGACAGCCTCAAGCATGCAATGCCAATGCATGCCCATGAATAAGACTCGAGATTTAGCGTCGAATTACCAATACAATTTTCTCTCCGCTTTGAATGAAGAGAATGCGTAGCAAGGATAAAAAATGCGAACTGCTCGACAGGAATGAGATTTAATAAATATTAGAATTTAGATCTCATTCCTGATGAGCAGTTCAGCTTTAGCACTGGACCCTGGAGCATTGAAGTGCACATTCTCTCTCTACCGGAGCATATTTTCACTTGTCGTTATTCTGCCGACTCCCAGAAGGACAGATGCACCGGGTTTATTTTTGTTCAACGTTGTGACTGCGTTTGTCAAAGAAGTTTGGAGGTCTCTTAGAGGTTTAATTGTGTATCTTGCAGTAACTGATGTTTTTGCTTTCAGTCCCGAGACTATTAAAGCTTCATCGGACGCAGAACCCACGGGTTTGGACCCTCCGCTATGGGTAGGGTCGCGCATGTGCTCATGCGTGCGTTTAACTACTATGGTGTGTCATCTAAGGGCCGTCGAGGTCGCCGGTTCGGACCGAGACCCCGACGGCCGTCGACTGTGCATTTAGCTAATCGGTGGCTGGGAGCGGTGAGAACCGCCCCGGAACGCGGGTGTACCTTGTGTACGCGTTGTGTGGGTCTCGCCGTGCTCGGAGGCGAGGGCGAACTGGTGTGATTGTTGTTACACTAACTTCTTCTACTCTAAAATATTTAAAAAAGCTTGTTATACTGCTAAATCTCTATATATTAGGAATAAAATAAAAAATGCACCTGATAGAATCAAAATGACTTGGAAAATAATTAATAGCGAAACGGGAAGAGTCACGAAGCGCAAATCTGACCTAATGTTAACTAATGATAATAATTCTATTAACTCAAATCAACAGGCTGCTACTTTCTTCGAGAAATTTTTCGTTGACATTCCAGTTTCAACAACCAAGTCACTTCTTTCCTCACCGACAGTTGCTGAGTCATTACTAAAAAAGAATGTTATGGAATGTAAAGTCAACTTTAAATTTACTACTGTAAACAAGACAGAAATTGTTAAAACTTTTAAAACTTTAGATGTTAAAAGAACTGCAGATCTATGGGGGATCTCGGTTAAGGTGATCAGTTCTATTATTGATGTAATATCACCTTACCTAGCAACTATTTTTAATATTTGTATCAATCGTGGCGAATTTCCTGACCTTATGAAACATAGTAAAATCATTCCGGTGTTTAAATCTGGTAGTACTTCCGACCCCAATAATTTTAGACCTATCTCTGTACTGCCAACTCTTAGTAAAATTTTTGAAAAAATCATGTTGAATCAAATGTTACAACATTTTAGCTCTCATAATTTATTACATAACAAGCAATATGGGTTTACTAGGGGTCGCTCAACAACTGATGCGGGTGTTCAGCTCGTTATGAATATTTTTGAAGCCTGGGAAAAGTCGCAGGATGCCTTAGGAATATTCTGTGACTTAACCAAAGCTTTCGATTGTGTACAGCATGAGACCTTGGTCAGGAAACTACGCCACTATGGTATAAGAGATGCCGCACTCAATCTTCTGAAATCGTACTTGAGCCATCGAATTCAGAGAGTTGACGTGAATGGCAAGAGATCTCCCGGGGCCTTGGTAAATATGGGGGTCCCGCAGGGATCTATTCTTGGGCCTTTTCTCTTCTTCATTTACATAAATGATCTACCTTATCTTGTTAATAATTATCATGATATGTTATATGTATTGTTTGCGGATGATACCTCTTTAATCTTTAAAGTAAACCGACGTTCTTTAAGTTATGACGATGTAAACAATACTCTATCTACTGTAGTACATTGGTTTAGTGCTAACAATTTACTGTTGAATAATAAAAAAACTAAATGTATTAAATTTACAACTTCCTCCAATGTTAAACATGTAAAAACTGATGTACTTTTATATGGGGAAGCGTTGGACCCTATTGACTCAACTGTATTCCTTGGCATAACTATTGATGCCAAACTGCAATGGGGCCCCCATATTAATAGACTGGCGAGTAGACTTAGCTCAGCAGCTTTCGCGGTCAAAAAAATAAGACAGTTAACTGATGTTGATACGGCTCGCTTGGTATATTTTAGTTATTTTCACAGTATAATGTCTTATGGCATTCTGCTTTGGGGTAACGCTGCCGACATTAATACAATCTTTATCTTACAAAAGAGAGCTATTCGTGCAGTTTACAATCTGGGCCCCAAAGAATCGTTAAGAAACTTGTTTAAAGAGATAAAGGTATTGACTGTTGCTGCTCAATACATTTTTGAAAATGTTTTGTATGTCCATAAAAATAAGGATAAATTTTTAAGACATAATAATGTTCATGATATAAATACTAGGAACAAAAATAAATTGATCCTACCCACAAGTAGACTCCGTAAAATAAGTAAATCTTTTATGGGACAATGTATACGTTATTACAACAAAATTCCAGAAAACGTTCAAAATGCATCAATAGCTAAATTTAAAAAAATAGTAAAAGAACGTTTGTGTGTTAAAGGCTACTATAATATTAATGATTATTTAAATGATAACACACTCTGGTAATGAACTGATCGCTCCAGGCTCTTTCAATCGGAGTTCTTATATTGTATTTTAACGAATTTATGTCAAACTGCTTATTTAAAAAAAAAAAAAAGCCCGCTGAGTTTCTTTCGCCGGTTCTTCTCAGTACAGTGGCTTTCTTTTCCGAACCGGTGGTAGTGTTTTGACTATCAATAAGTGAGTGTAATGCTCCTATGTTGAATAAATACATTTGATTTTGATTTTGATTTTGATTTTGAACTGTGGGTGTAGTGTTATCCGGTGGGACCCCGGGCGGTGGGTCCATCGTATCTAAGTCCTCTTCGTCGACCGGGTCGATGAGGACGTTTCGCGGGCGACGCTTGTTTACGTTCGCGTTTGTGTCCGGTTGGTAGTTTGCTGCGCTTACCACCAGAGGGTTGAGATGATGCTGGGCTCTATCGAAGAACCGTTTTGTCAAATCTTTAAAATGTGCGCGAATCGTCGGGAGTCTGCAATCGCTGTGCAGGTCGACGTTGCGCTGATACCATTGCGCACCGGTTGCGCGGCGGATAAACTTACTTTGAACTACTTGCAATTTGTTAATGCGCGTAGGATTTATATGTGCGAAGATCATGCAAGCGTAGGACATGATTGGCCTTACGCAAGCTTTATATAACAGTAGTTTGTGCCTTAAGGGCATTTTACTTTGCTTATTCGTTAAATTGTGTAGCCGGCCGGAGACGAACGCGGCTTTATTTCGGACTTGATTGATGTGCGTAGTGAAAGTCATACGCGAGTCGAAAGTGCCTCCTAAATATTTGACCGTTTTCTCCCAGGGGAGAGTTTGGCCATATAGTGATATTTGCCCCAACTTTCTGTACTGGCGAGGACCTTTGTAACGGTGTGGCGGATGGGGGTTGGGGGTGCTACGACTAAAGTGAATCGCCACACTCTTTTCTGGAAGGTTTAATTTAGTTACTTTAGTTCATCATAGAGGCTTAATTAATAAACTACACTTGCTAGGAGTGCCAGACAGACTAGTGAATATTGAAAATCATACGAGACTACTTGCAAACCATCGATTACAGTTTCGAGTTAAAGGAGCACTTCGGCCCTCGCCTCCTCAGAGTGGACTCGGGGATAATACACCGGTCCCCAGGAGTATAAACTATTTTCGAACCAAAGTCTTTATTACCCAGTACTTAAGTCGGTAACGGTATCATCAATGTCGAATTGTCGATATCGTCACGACCGACACAATCGTCCTATTAAATACCACTAAACCATAAACAATACTGTCAAAACACTACAAATCAATCAAAATGAAATAGCATATTTTAATTTGACTTTGAGTAGGTACCCATCTACTACGATGATTACTAATTATTGTAATTTTTCTTAAAATTAATGTTTTATAGTCACATTTAAGTTGTTTTAATACAACTGCATTTTTTAACATTTTAATCATCCAAAATGACGGACATAGTGGAGAATGAAGAGGTTGATAAAGACACTATAGATGAAATTGGTATAGAACAGCAATTTTATAAAAAATATGAATTACTCACAGAAACGACAGTTTCGAATAAGAAAGCCTATATAAATAAAATAACCGGAACGAAGTAAGTGATTATCATCATTTATTTATTTTTAATTAATGTACAGTTTTGTTAAAAGCATGTTGAATGTGTACAATAGAATAATTTGGATTTTATTTATGTTTAGACTGTAATATTGTAAAATTTACAGGCTTTCTAAGTTTTTGTTCAATTATTTACTCTTCCACATTATCTTTTTGGCCTATTTTTTATTCACATTTTTACACAATTTAAAATTTCTTAATGTCCAATTTACACTAGTACTATATTTACTCAAAAAAAATGTTTACAGTGGCTGAGACATACAGCGACTGTTAACACTGCAAGTATTAAGCTTTGGCATTTAATCATCATTGGTTCCTCTTTGGGGAATGCAATGAGCCTACAATACCACAGGTGTCAACAGTATCAGGCATATTCCCTAACCATCAGGTGTACTTGTTTACCACTTTGTGCATAAAACTTTAAGTTCATTCTGATTAATTCAGAGTTTAACAATCGTTTTGCTAACTCAAATAACATTTGAAAAGCTGTTTATCAGCTGTTTAGATGACTTCTACAATGATCAGTGTTTTAGAAACATGGTGTTACTGAATTACATTTTTGATAGACTTTCTGTTCATTAAAGCACCTTTTTCTCATTAACAGGTTAGGTTAAGTTAAAATTTATTAACCAACTCCAAATAAAGAGGATGTTTTTTCTGATTAGTTAGAATCTTTTTTTATGCATGTTCAACAATTACTATAAAGCACCTAAAACAATTTAATTTTTTTCTTTCAAACATTTACTTCCCGGGTGGTCCTTTTAAATTTAATTGAAATCGGTTAAGTCAGTTTTTATGGATATTCTCAATTTGGTTTCTTTTATGTTTATTACCTGTGTATGTGACATTTTAAAAAAGGTTTTACCTCTTCGTTAACAAAAGACCACTTGTATCAAACTTGTTCTACAATTGCTCTGTGTTGTGAAAAATTTAAGCTTATAAGCCACTAGAAATGAAAGATATGGCCATTTTTGTCTGACATTTCTTGCAAAATTAATATTATTTTACATAGTGTGTAGTTACATTATTATTTTTAAGTGTTGTATGTATCTATTGTGCTTAGGCCGTGAATAAATGTTTCTTCTTCTTCTTCAAAATCTGCTCAAAGTGATCTGAGTCAAAACTCATGAAACCTGGCAAAAAGAAAGGTTGTTGAAAGCAAATTGTTATTAACGAGAGAGAAATATTTTTGGATGATAATTTGTGTATATATTCTTTAATCTTGTATGGTTGTTTGGTTTAAAGGAAAATTACTCAATTAAATTTCAAATATTTATACAGCGTGTCTTTACAATCGCGACAATAAATGAACACACATATAGGGGATAACTTTTTAAAATTGTATTAAAGATTTACATTCTTTAAACTTTAATATTTACAGAGTTATTAAATTTTCCAAACCAAAAAATTTTAGATCACCTTACGTATAAAACTGTAATGTAAAGTTCATTTGTAAAGGTCACAAAGAATATGAATGGGTTGAATGAATTTAAAAGAGACAAAACATACTGTTAGAAGGAGAGGCTTGTAACGCGACGCTGTGGCGCGAGTTGTATAGGTGTTACAAAATATGTTTATTTTTTACTTAATTAGTTTGTTTGAAAAATATATTTTTTTTAATTTTGTTTAACGTTAATTTTTATGATTATTGGCAAGTAGCGTTAGACGTGTGTTAATTTATTGTCGCGATGGTAACACGCGTACATGAAGTAACTATGATAAATTAAATTTTTAAGGAAAATTTTACTGTAATTGATTCATGTACTAAGCTGTGCTTACAAAGTCTTGAAGTCAGCTATTATAAGCTAATATACAAAATATAAAGATATAGCTTTGAATACAAATATATTTATGTGTATGACACAAATTAACAATACTGTATGTAATTGCTGTGCTTGTATTATACATAGCTTTTATTGGTACATCGCTTAACTTATGATGGTTTTAACTGATATACTGCATACCTGATTGGTATCACATTTTGGACTGAAAAAGTAATTAACCCTATCAGCTTTTGCATTTCATGCTGAGATACGTTACTCGTGTCCTTTGCAGGTCTTTGAAATATTCGATAACCCTCCCGGACAACAGCATAGAGGTGTATGAGCTGAGCAACAGCGCACTCACCCGCACCTGCCGCCTCACTGGCCACGAGAAGAAGGTGACGGAGGTGGTGTTCAATCCGAACGATGATAATATGCTTTTCTCCTCTTCGGAGGACGGCATCGTCAAGATGTGGGACACCAGGGCAGGCGGGAGCTTCGTCCACGACTATAAGGGTAAGTATTCATTTGTTTTGCTCTTTATTTAAAACCACCTTAATAGTTGCTGTTGACATTCTGTACTAGTCAACTCAGGGTGTGAGAAGGAATCATGGTAGATGCAATAAATAAAATTGCAATATGGGTTTATGTGAATTAAATCAATATACATCATATATCAACAATACAAATCATTTAACCGTTAGTAATTATACAATAACGCCGCTGTACTAATTCGTGCCATACTTCGTATTCGACTCAACATTTCAGGCGTATTTCCAACTATTAGATTCAAAACCATTGTCTCTGGGTTGCAAATAACATTACATATATTAGTATCGGAACGCAGACGAGGAGGAGTTGATGGTGCGGCCGTACGAGTGCATGGACGTGTCGCACAACGGGCGCGTGCTGTGCGCCGGCAGCCAGCTGGTGGAGGAGGACGCCTTCCTGGTCTTCTGGGACCAGCGCGCCACCAAGCCGCTCGGCGGCTACTGGAACTCCCACACGGAGGACGTCACGCAGGTCTGGCTTGCTCTTGCCGATGCCAGGACATCACGTCGCCAATATTCTAACAGATTTATGATTTATCAATTCATGTGCATTCATCATTCAAAAATTCATAAATTATATGTAAATTTTTCAAATAAAAATACTAATTGCAATATTTGTAAGAATGTTAATCGCACTTCACCAGCCATTAGTTTGTCATCTTTATTTTTCTGTGAGTCTTGGTCATCTTAATTTTTTTTTTTTTTTGGGTGTTATATTGACATCAACTATATCAAATGACAGTTTTTTATTATTTTTCGATAATTATAACGTAAAATGAGTCATCGTATAATAATCTACGCAACCGCCCTTCGCCTGCCGCCTGCCGCCACTATATTTTCGCGGGAAAAAAGTTCGCTGCGTGGCTTGGTCGTTTTTTTATGGATAATACACGCCTAAACCTTAATTTATTTGCTTTGGTATTTTTTCTTTATCTTTCTATTAATTATTTTTATATTGTAAGCTGTACAACAATAGGTTTCTTAAAAAATGTTATGGTACATACAAACAAAGTTTCTATATGTAAAAATGTTAGGCCAAGATGAACATCCCCGAAATGATTACGTGTTAAGATAGGATTTAATTAACATTTAAGTAAAGCACAGACTGTACAAAAGGTACTCGGGCATAGTCCTTAGCGTAGAACGACATGTGTGTCCAGTGTTGTAGGGAGAACTGGCCACTGGGCTCCGCAGGTGAAGTTCCACAAGGAGAAGATGGAGATCCTGGCGACGGGGTCGATCGACGGGCTGGTGAACGTGTTCGACATCACCGAGCAGACGGAGGAGGACGCGCTCACCTACTCGCTGAACCTGGGCACCGCCCTGGACAGGATCGCGTGGCTGGACCACGAGCTGGCCGCCTGCACCACGCAGGCCCACGAGCTGCAGCTGTGGAACCTCGCCACCGGCGACAGGCTCTCGGCCCACAACAGGGACGACGTCGCCAGGGGCATCAAGGTCCGCACTTTCAATAGTCGAATCTAAATATAATTGTAATTCATTTTATCGCGCTTACCATCAACGGCTGCGTCGCCACTTACCACCAGGCATGGCAGTCGAGCGCCTACTTTTTTTATTTGAGAAAGTGGCAAACGAGCCGGTGATTCCCCTGATGTTAAGTGATAACCGCTGCCCATAGACATTGAGATTTAGATAGACATTTAGATGCGTTGCCGCCTTTCACCCCACGCACCGGACGAGACGCAGAAGTGTAACGCTTCCACTTCGCGCCGATCTTCGGTCTTCTGTAAGGTCGTGGCACTCGCCAGACGGACCTTCTCATTCGTGCAACAGCGAAAACTGTTACGGGGCCCGTTGTAAAAACCTCTTTGGGTAGGGGGGGGTAGGTAATATAACATACTAAAAAATATAAAAGCGGGGAAGAGAAGAGACAAATATCTTGGAGTGACAATTTAAAAAAAAGACAGACATCAAGGATATCGTCAGTCTTTCTAGACTGGCGCAGAATAGAGAAGAGTTCGTGTGGTGGGGCACCCCCAAGAAGAAGGGTAGGGGGGTCCCACCTTTGATCCTCACTAGAGTAAGGTTGAACTGTGTCCATGTCCGCAGCGGAGCCGCGCGGACGACTGCTACCTGGTGGACGCGTTCCTGTCCGCCGAGGGCGCGCCCGTGCTGCTCGCCGGATCCTACGGGGGCTGCGAGTGAGTGGCCCTCCCTCCTTCCACATTGTTCACTCCGCGCTGATCATTGCTTTGGCGTAGGGAACCTGCCTCTTGCGCCAGGGTTATCAAAGGAATTATCCGTGTGGTAAAATGAAACATAACAATTGGGCAGCGACACAAATTAACCTCAAAATTTAAAAAAGCTGAATACTGAAATTTTTTTTTGATAAATTTTACTCACTAATTTTTTATCAATGATTTGCACTTCTTTCAGATATTTATTATCAACAGTAAATAAATTTATTAATATATTATGCACAAAAATTAGTGTATGTAACAGCACAATTTATACACCATAATATAGGTTAAGGGCACCTGATGACAGGCAATACCAACCCACCATCGTCTAACAACTCCACAGTACCATCCGGCAGCCAACTCAAGCACTGCGTGCGCGCATTGGTTCGAATGTCGCGCTCCCTCTGGCTTCCTATTCACACATGGGACATACTTCCGTCCCTTGTCATGAAATCACTTGAACAGATTGCAGAACACAGAGAGAATAGATGTTAAAATTTGTTCAATATAGGAGCGTTACACTTACTTGTTGATCGTCGAAAATACTAGTAGTTACCATTCCGGAAATGAACTGATATATTTTTAAACATTTTCTGGGATTATGTTGTAGAAATGTATACATTGACGTATTTATTTAAGACAGTTTAGTTGTTAGTGAAATTAATTTATGTCTGTTCCTAATATTTTATTATGCACATTACTATATCTTTGCACATTTTCTAGTACACATTGAGAAATTAAATATCAAAAACTGTAATGATAACGTACCAGCAAAGCGTTACAAATGATGACAACACGGACCAATTCTGTGCATAAGTAAACCGTTAAGCTATGTTCTATGCAACAGGGACACGCTGCGGTCCGTCCGCGTGGTGGGCCGCCGCCTCCACCCGCGCACCAACTTCGCTGGCAACCGGCAGATCGTGCACACCTGCTGGTACGACAGGGAGGTGGGTGCCTCCGACCTTCCTTCTCCCTCTCTCCGGGCCTCGCTGAGCGCCGGTTCCGTTGCAGAGGGACATGCTGCTGACCGCCGGCGAGGCGGGCGTCATCAGCGTGTGGCGCGGGCTGCGCTGCGACCGGGAGATGGAGGTGGAGGTGGAGCCGGACTCCGTGGAGGAGGGGCCCTTCGCCGTGGACCGCGCGCAGCCCGCGCCCGCCCACAGCTCCCACGGCGAGCCGGACAAACGACCCGATAGCCGCCCGAGCAGCCCACCGGCCAGTGAACCGGACGACCAGCCGGACGAGCCGCCGGACGGCCAGCCGGAAAAAGACGCCAGCGGCCGGCCGGACAGCCCGCCGAGCGAAGAGCAGCAGCACGTGGACGCCGTCGAGGGAGACGCCCCGCCCGGCAAGCTGTCCGCCGCCCAAGAGAAGCTGCACGCCAACAGGCACCAGCCCTACTGAGGGCTCGCTGCTCTCTCGGATTTTATGGTGTCTCGTTGCACACGTGGTGTCCCGTGCCGCCTCTCCCCTTCCACTCACGTGTGCCGCGAGAATATCTAAGCGCTGTCCCTCCCCCTCCCGACGCCCCCAACTCCCCCTCTTCGCGTTCCTTATTATATCTCTCATCGTAAAGTGAAAAGATAAACCAAATACTACTACATTGTAATTATTTGTTATTAACTGTTGAAAAAGACTATATTTTTTTTAGATTTCGTATCGAAATTGCATCATTTGAAATCGGCTCATGGATTTAGTTCATAAAATGTATGAATCATCGGATTTCAACTTAACTTTTAGGTATAACATTATTGTATGTAATAAAAGTGACTGAGTCATTAAGTCAATTTTATTTTATTAAAAAAACTTTACATTAGTGGTTTTAAACAATCGCTATTTGGAACTAATGTCGGATTAACATTGTATAATTAGAAATAAGATAATCTTTAATTTTTTTATGATGATTATTACGAAATATTGTCGGAGCGATTTTAACTCATTGGGTAACCTTATTTTCCATTACATGAGGAATCTATATGGAAACCGAAAATTAATAGAGAACTTAATTAATTCATTAGAAATTATAATTTTTTTTATTTAGTAAGTCCAAAAAATTAATAGTTAAGTTATATTTTTAATGAACATCATAATTAATCAATTTAATTCAATGGAATATTTCTAGCTTATTTATACACATACCTTTTAATTTTTCAATACTGTCAATATTACAATTGCTATCTCAATCGCTTAAACAGACTGACATGCCAATGCTTTATGATATGTATAAGTTAATCCTAATCGTAAAAACTTGCACGTCAACTGATCAATACGCCACTAGAAGTAAGATGCAATGCAGATTTTGTTTAAACTATGCAACGCTTTTCTACCATGATGATAGAAAAATACGCTTTTGATGTGTAGCTACGTGTGTACTTTAAGAATTGTTAGGCAAGCTGGCGTATATTTATTGCCAAGCCGTTATTAGAACTTAAGTGGATAATTAATATCAATCGCTTAGAATTCCACCATATGTGGGTTCTATCCCGTGCATGTTTGCAGAATATGTATAGGTAAATGTGGATATTATGCTGGATTTTGTTTCCCTATTAACTTATTTCGCAATTGTAATTTTCGTAGGCGCCGTATACTGCCATTGTTTTGCATTATATCATTTTAGATTATCAAAATTGTACATACATTTTGATCATTCCAAATGTGTTAAAGACATTAGCAGCAATGATTTTTAGGCTTTCAAAGCATTTGCGTTTACGTCATAAAATTCGCTTGCTGATTGAAACCTGTTGTCGATGTTCAGTTTTTTATTATTATTGCGTACGAATCCGGTGTCTTAATTCTTATTCTTTAAAAGATGTCCTGTTTGGAGTAGTTTTAGAATTAGTACATAAGGATCCTTATAAATGTATTGATTTCTCGTAGTGAATATTAAATAAATAAATAAAAAAAACAACTTTAACATTCTCAATTTATTTACTATATTAATGTCACCAATTACAATAAAATATCCATAAAATTAACTAATAAATGTTCGGTAAACGATAGATGAATCAGAATATAATATTATTTATAAAGGAAAATTATATATAACTAATGGGGTTAACTCATGAAGAGACGCTAAACAAGTTATTTGAATCTCATAAAAATTGCGGTAAATTCTATTCATATAAAAGCAAGAGCACTCTCATGCACGTTTTATAAGTGCATTAGTAATAAGACTAAATAAATATTCGGTAATACGTGCACCTCTTCAATGACTATCTAGTCATTACAAAACCAAAACTTCAAAAATTTAAATATCGTTAAGAAGTGTTTTAATTCCTATCTAAGTAAAAAAATTCTACGACCTGTGGGTCTTTAATTACTTTTAGATTCCCAATAATATTCGACATACTTTTTTTTTACATATTTATAGCGTGAAGTCAACGGGAATTAAATTGTACGACAAAAACTTCTTAACACTAACGGATTTTACGCGATCGCTATTCAAAGTTTTATCTTTTACTCATAACCTAAAAACAAAATACTCCATCTAAATTACAATCCTCTACCGTGCCCTATATAGTGATTTTGAGCAAATACTTAGCAGATCATCGATATGTCCTAAAGTGAAATTACATTACAGTTTCCGAATTTTCTTTGGTCAGCGTGCGTCGTGTCAAACTGAGTCTTCCGCCATATTGTGGATAAGAAACGCGCCATTCGGACGTCTCACTTCGACGACAAGAACATGATGAGCCTGGCAATGCAAATATTGTTGCTAGTCTGAAACTCATTAGCAAAAACGACATGTCAATGAAAACATAAAATTCTGAGACGTCCCAATTGGGTTTTTACGGTTTCACTTTGGGCGCGTTAACAACGTATTTGTAATAAACAAAAACTGAAACAGAGTAATCACGTCTAGATTCGTTGTTCTTTCTATATTTTCTTAATTATAACGGTAATAAGTAAAAACACGTGTTTATTCTATGGAATGTTAAAGGTATCGACGGCGCTTTTATCCGATTAGGAATGCAGACGTGTATACATACAATCGAAGTCTAAGATGCGATGTATGTTCCATATTGGGAGTAAAAGTAAAGTCCTCTGTAGTAGGGAATCGGGACAATGTCCACCACGGGACCCCACTGCGGATTGGCACTGTTTTTTCGCCATTATTTCAAAAATATGCAGGTTTCCTCACCATATTTTCCTTCGTCGCTGAGCACGTTAAGTCAACACTTAAAATGCGGCTTAGGTATACAGCGTGTCTTTACAATGGCGACAATAAATGAACACACATATAGGGGATAACTTTTTAAAATTGTATTAAACATTTACATTCTTTAAACATCAATATTTACAGAGTTATAAAATTTTCTAAAACAAAGAATTTTAGAACACCTTACGTATAAAACTGTAAGTAAAATTCATTTCTAAAGGTCACAAAGCATATGAATGGGTTGAATGAATTTAAAAGAGACAAAACATACTGTTAGAAGGAGAGGCTTGTAATGCGACGCTGTGGTGTGGCGCGAGTTGTGTAGGATGTTACAAGTTTTGTTTCTTTTTTACTTAATTAGTTTGTTTGAAAAATATTTTTTTTTAATTAGGGATTTTGTTTAATGTTAATATTTTTTTATGATTATTGGCAAGTAGTGTTAGACGTGTGTTCATTTTTGTCGCGATGGTAACGACACGCTGTTTATTAGGTTGGGAAAAAACTCTTTTCGCAAGTAGTATGTATGTACTTATAATATAGTCTCTTTGGCTATACACTTTGTATCTGGCTGGTTTTGGTATCATTAAAAAGTTTAATACCAAATTAAAATTAGGAAAATGTGATTTTCATTCGTTTTTCTTACTATAAGATGAGTGATTCTAATGAAGATTTTAAAATTTTACTACATTTTTTTACATACATTATTTACATACTAAAAGGGTAAAGATGTAACGAAAGCCACGAAAAAAATATGCGATACTTATGGACCTAGAGCGCTGTCTGTGAGAGTGGCACAAATTTGGTTTGAGCGTTTTTTAGGCAGTGTCAGGTTAAGATGACGAGAGGAATAATAATAATAATAATAATAATAATCGCGGAGGGAGTTGTTGTCGCATGCGGTACCGGCAGTGCAGCGGCTTGGTGGCCAGCAGGCGGTTGGCGTCGCTGGGGTCGTGCAGCGGCAGCGCGCGCGGCGGCGCGTCGGGCGCCTCGTCGCGGAACGCGTGCGCGCCCACCTGCGCCTCCAGGCGCGCCTCGCCCCACGGCCCGCGCGCCACCACCCACTGCACGCACAGCGGGCTGCCCGTCTTGCTCTTCAGCATCAGCTGCACCCCACACCGCTTTCGATATGGCGAAGCGCGAGCGACTCGCCGCTCACACCGCCACACGAGGATACGGTACCTGGTAGGTGATCTCGCGCTGGGCGCTCTGCGTGGGGTCGCGCTGGTTCTTGTTCACGAACGCCTTCACCACCCACTGGTGGCCGAAGGCGGTGAAGCGCGAGCTCTCGTAGTAAAGCTTGTGCACGAACTCCTCGGTGCGATACGGCTTCAGCTGTAAATCTGCGCCACAAACATGCCACCGCGTAACTAATCACAATCAATTTCGGCCCAACCCAAATATATGTATAACAAATATAGCCTTATTGTTACTGCATACAAAACTTTTTTTTGGAACCGATCACAGAGCACGGGTATAATTGACAAAACTGTTAAGTCTGAAAAACTTGATACGCCCCGAACGAAAGAAAGCTGTATACGTGAAACGGACAAAAACACTTAAACCACATCGTCCGGTGTACCGCAAGGACGATGGCCGGCGCCGGTGTTTATAACAGTCTTCATGGAGTGGCGGGCTCACCGTTGAAGGTGATCTTCTCGTAGGAGAGCAGGTCGAGGATCTGCTCGTAGACGGCGGTGGCCTGACGCGCGTCGCGCTCCTTCTCGGCGAGCAGCGCCAGCAGGTCGGCGGCGGAGTTGGCGGGGTGCGGGCACCGCGACTCGTGCTCGGCCGCCTCGTGCGCCGGCCCGCGCCAGCGGCAGCCGATGCACGCGTACTTGCACCCCATCAGCCTGTCGCCACCGACGCGATTCTCATGAGCGGCGGAACGCTACGCGCTGTTGACGACGCTCTATGCCACAGTCGAACGCCAAGCGCGCATTTGGGTGACCCTTTTGTGATTCGAGTACGCGCATTCACGTTAGGATCGTTTAAATGTAGAACTACTAAGTTGTCGATGGACATCATCGTACAAACGAAACACTCAAAAACCAATGGTCTTTTTGCCGTAGAAAATACCATGGGCTTTTATGATTTAGGAGTTTTAGTGCCTAAGATATTCCAAAATGGCAATAAATCCTGATACACTAACATATTTGTAAATGTGTCAATTGATACGACCGTTTTTTTATCTGCCTAGCTATTACAATAGTGTTAATGTAAGCGGTATTTAATGAGCCACTGATTACAATGCCGCGAGTTTTTAACGGATGATTCTAAGTCTTATTATTTATCATCGCATGTCACTACTACCTTGTTTGAATAACAGTTTCCATATCAGGTGGACCTGATAAGTGAGCCCGTCTGTGACAGCTAAATATAATTTAAATTGTACATCGATGTGACTTTTTTTTACCGAGTTTTTGACCAACTTTGCCTACTGGGCCCCCTGGCCAGATGGGGTGGCGTTCGGTAGGAGTCTACCATGTGGTCGGTTATGGGGCTTAGCGTGACGTACACACCTGGTGTACCTACGCCGCCTGTGCGATGGCGCAGGGTCCGACACGAAGTACGCTCTCCTGAACGCGGTCAGCAGAAGGGCGTACAGGCCGCTCGCAATGCGGAGTATAGCCTCGATAACGGGACGCCTCTCCGACGTCCCGTCAACAACGATTTGCGTGAACTTGTACGGCCTGGGGGGCAGAACTCTATGCATCATGGCTCTATCTCGCGTTACTGTGCCGTCTCATTTCGACGAGGCTCTTTTCGTGATTTCTCGTCATACTCAGCCTTTCAGTCGACATATCGTTAATTTGGGGTAGCCTATGTGACATGGTGTAGCCGTAACATTAATTTTATCAACTGCGCCAGACTAATGTTTAATATTGATATCAACACGTCCGGAAATTTAAAGTCATTTGATTACAACAATTTAAATTAGAACAATTGAAATGCAGTGGCGAACTTACCAGCAGTCTAGACAGTACTAGGGCGTCAGATTTTAGGGGGCGGCAAAACTGACCCAAAAATTTACAGAAATAAAGAAAAAATATCATTATATACATATAGAAAACGAGTTTTGAAAATTTAACGAAATATAAGACTTTCAAAACTTGATTCGTTTTATTGTCTTTATTAACCGGATTGTTGACAGAAAATTTAATAGAGATACTGTTCGTATTATTTTTAAACTGTAAGTGCAATAAAAGAAAAATTAACGTTTACTTATTAAAAATAACATTATTTTGAGTTAGCTCATAACTGTATTAATTTATTATTAGATATTAGTATTAGTATTTTTCAGGCATACCTTACCTCGTCTTAGAACATGACTGAGCTTTTTTAAGCTAGGGAATACCCAAAAATTTTTTTTCATTAATCTTCACTAAATCGTGGGTTGTAAAAATAATCTAAAAACTGAGATAACGAAACTCCAGATCAAAATTTTAGACGTCAGTAGTGGCGGCAAAAATTTAACTGTGTATTGGCGGCAAGTTTGTAAATCCGCCACTGTTGAAATGGATTTAGGCTTTTGAGCTGGTGGACCAAAGTAGAAGAAGAGAAGAAAAACAGAGCAAAACAATTAAAAACTTAGATCACTTATAAACACGATGTGGTAATTAAATCGGGTTCAGACCGTTAAGGTAGAGGAAATTTTATTTGGCAGATGTAAACGTGAACTGACCAGTTTGACCGCGAGTCTTTGTCATTGCCCTAGGACTAGGATATTTCATTAGCGATATATACGTATAGCCCCAACAATATGACCTGCATAATACATTTCGTAGAACTCAGTGGAGTCGGGGATTTCTTTATACTTTGTGGCGTCGTTGCTAAGCTATTGGCTTCGGTGTCGGGAGTCGTGAGTTCGATTCCCACACGGGATAAGTATTTGTGTGGCCCACAGATAATATTTATCTATCAACAATTATTGTTCCGGATCCGGGTGTTTGGAGGGTTGACGTCAGGCTGGCGGCTGGTCGCAAAAAACGTATCCAGAGTCCAAAACGACTTACAGCCTGATTTATATGGTGTGCCGACCTACACCTAGGTGGGGTAAAGGGTTACTTATTGGACCAATTCATATCAAATAGGTAGTTAATGTTGTGAACGTTTTGCTTTAATTACTAGTGACATTAAGTAAACTTAATATCACTAGTAATTTCGCCTTATATCGCGTTTCGTCTGGTGAGTGAGGTGGCCGGAGCCCAATTTTCAAAAGGTTGTCAACGCATCTGTAACCCTCGGGTGTAGCAGATGTCCATGGGCGGCGGTATTCACTTACCATCAGGTGAACCTCCTGCTCGTTTGGCAACTTTTCACATAAAAAAAATACTTGTTATGTGTGTTGATATTTGGAACACGTTTTCAAGAACCTGAGAATCAAACTCTGGCTCTGTGCAGTCTTATTTTCAATCTTGACATTTGAGCCTTGTAAACTTATTTTGGTACAATTGTTTGAAGCATGGGGTTTGAACCTATTACAGCTATTTCCGGGCTAAAAGAAGGGAAGAAAAGTAACAGCCTATGTATGTTCCACGGCTGGGCAATGGCCCACCACGCGACTCCAATGCGCATTGGCAGGCTTTAAATATCTACGAAATTTTTTTTCGTTGTACTTCGAAAATATAGAAATATGATTTTTGCCTTCACCGCTGAGAACAGCAGAAATTGAACACAGGTTGCTCAAATATATTGAATTAAAAGCCAGTGCCTGGATAAAGAGCTAACACAACTCTTGTCGACAATGGAACTACAAAATATGTTGGTAATATGTTAAAGTATGACATATATCAAAAACAAACAAAAGTTAAGCCTTTTGTTCAATGACTGTTCACTTGATATTGAATAATAATGCATTATTTAAAAATTTACTTTTCATTTCTATTTTCAGTTTGATAACAGAAATATGGTTATAATACAACAATTCAAATACCTATAACAATTTTTAAACAAATTGCCACCTTAACAATATTGTGGTACCATACTCTATGGATGGACAATATGTGGTAGATATATTTTATATATATTGCACTGTACAGAAACAGTTATGAAAAAAGTGGTTAAATTAAGTCTAAAAATAAATTTAGTTTTTCATATTCCATCACATAATAAAATAAAGTATGCAAATTATAATACTAAGTATATTTTGATTGATATAATATTAATATAATTTTTATACCACCTTTGCACTTGTACATTACCTCTCGTCGCAAATGTTTTCTTCGTGGTGCTGCAATGAATGCCGTGGGTAAACATGAGTGCAAAATCTACACTCTAATGGCAACTCGGAGACTGTCTTCTCCACAGCCAGATTTCTTGATGCAGAGGTCTTGGAGATTTCTATGCGACAGTTAGGACAAGTTGCTGCCTCATCTCGGAGCCTAGCATCCGCCAGCAAATGAGTAAAACATGGCGCACACATTAGATGTCCATTTGAACACTGCAAGGGAAGTAAACCATTGAACATACTGCAACAATATTTTCAAGTTATGAGATCCGACAATTTTTTTTAAAATTCTATGTTATGTTAGATATTAAAAGAAAATTTAAAAAATTGCATTTTGTTAAACATTACATAAACACTAATTAAAAAAAATCACTTCAAAATAGGTTACTTTTAAATTCAAAACTTTCTATCAATTGATGTGGCGTCTAATACGTACATATATTGTAAAATTCATAAAAAAAAAGATTCTCATCAAACAGGACACTATAAATAATTTGATAAATTTTTAAAACATCAACTGATTTTATGGATTGAATGTTAAATTTATTGATTTTTAACACCCAATGTGATATACCTCTGCAACTCCTATTTTATTATAACCTCTTTATAGTTATTGGGTACAATTAATTATATTACTGCTAAAGCTCACACCACAAATGTCTTTAACTTCAAAAATTGTCTAACTTTATTAATTTGAACACATTTATAGGGGTAAGTGATGAGATATGAAGGTGTATGTGCAAATGTTATTTACACTACATTTAACACATCACAAATTTTATTTACTTTCATAGTACTGTAAAAAATGTATTGAAATAAATGTATTGAATAGATTGTACAAAATTCAATGATTATGATAATTTATTAAATCCAAAAATGAGCTGTAATCGAAATCAAACAATAAAATCCATGTTATTTTACATATGTTTTTTGTATTTACGATATTAATTAAAAGTTTTAATATTAAGGGCAAATTATTAAATCAATGATTCATTCTTTAACATTTTTTAAAGCCAAACAGTTACTAAAGATGCCTTCAACAAAGCTTGTTTGAAGATTGAAAAGGTAATAGGAGGGGAATTGATAAAGAAAGAACTACTTGTCATGAATATTTATTTATTGTAGTGAATTACTACATGACTGTATACAAAATACAATTACCCACTATAAGATAATACACATAATGGCTTAAGGTACAATATGCAAGTCCTTATATACAATAATTATAAATTAATAGTAATTTACACAGTTACAAATCAATATAGAGTAACAACGACATAATAAACAACTTTATAAATGTATGTCACGCAAAAACAAACATCTATTAATATAACATCGTGATATACGGAATTTACAAATTTTTCTATTACTACAAAGTACATCACATATTTTTATATACGTTATTATATTAAAGACGCATTTATAATTTGAAAAAAAAAGCTCAATTTAGATATAAGAGTAAAAAAGAAAACAACTGATAACAACAGTTTATCTGCTGTCTATCAGCTGTTTTGGAATACCTGATAAACGGCACCCGGAGGCAAGTCTAAGCAAACTGCGCAGCACAAAATGCCTCCCAATCTGTGCTCGAGTTTATCCGACTGCTCTCTCTCACTTAGAATTTTACGCTTTTTGGCCAGAGGAGCATCATCTTTAATATCAGATTCTATTTTCTCACTTGACGATGGCACTGGTTCACTTTGCGCCACGTCTGACATTTTATTTATAATTTAGAGAAGAATTAATAAAACTCTAAGATACTCCTAGCCAATACAACATCTATCACACAATAAAAATTAAGGTTTAATACGATAAAGGATAAAGAGACGTAAACCAGTGGTTGTGGTGTAGGGATGCCGAGAAAATATCGATATATCGATATTTTTTTTAAAAATATGCGATTTTTTGCCGACATATTTTGATCCCATATATCGATATAAAAAATTGAATATCGAAATCGTATCAAAAACGATATTTTTATTCTAACTGATTCAAAGCCGTAAAAGACAAAAATGAAGGGAAAAGATCTGTGGTCTATTACTAGTATTTTCGCGGATGCAGAGTTGCATTTTGTACTATAATTACTATGGTATTTATACTACAACTAGTTTTTCGCCCTCGGCTTCACTCGCTTTGAAGCCCTTAAATAAATATCTATCTTTAAAAAAAATTCTGTTAAAAATAGCCTTGTCAAAAATGTCCTTTCTCAGGCTCTAGACTATCTGCGTACCAAATTTCATTTAAATCGGTTCAGTAATTTCGGCATCCCTAATGTGGTGTATTACGGCAACTCGCAACTCTATTTAAACAAAGGTCGCTCGATACCACTGAAAAAAATATACATTAAAATTTAAATAAGAAGTATCTGAAATTTATATCTCACAACTTTCTCTCAACATATTTAAAAGCTTAAACACGTAGGTATTAATTAATACTCAAATAATTTACTTGCGATATATAACAGACATTCTCTCCCTACCTACCACCATACATAGTCTATGAAATGCCAACTGACAGATTTTACATATTTTTGCTGGAAACCATATCTAAACTAAAGTTCTAAATGCATGTCTGAAGACTGTTTTTGTTATCTGAAGAACAGTGTTATTAAAATTATATAAAAAAAATTATTTAACCTTAAACACATTCAACCTCTAAGAGCCTTCTTTAAGTAAAAGTGTATAAATACATGATTTAATTAACTCTGGTACTTATAAAATAAAAACATGTTAGACATAATAAATGTAAAACCTGTTTATTCATAGAATTTTGCTGTAATTTTGAACATAGCCTTTGATATATTTTCTCTATTTTTACATAATATAGCAAAGGATCAAAATTTGCTAAGTAAGCTTAATAACTACAAAATTCATTTTTAATTGTGTGGAATCATAAATAATTTTAGTAAAAAGCAACACTTCCTCGTAGTACAGTTCAGCAACAGTGCGGAGAGTCTTAGACATTTATGTATTTAATGACAAGAGTAACACATTCTCTCCGATTAATATGGAACCATATTAACTCATATGTCATATTTTTTGTTTTTTTGGCAAGGAACCAAATGCAGAAATTACTGTGCCTTTTGTACCCGTGACATTAGTTGTTAATGGCTGCTGCACTAATCCAGGCTGCTTGATAGCTGGCTTTGCAGCCACATTTGGCGCAGCCTGGTCCCATTTAGACTTTCGTTTTTTCTCCTCATCACTCTCAGATTTTTTTACAACGCCCGAAATGAAGTCTATCTTAGCCAGTTTTTCTTTTTTCTCCTTTTCTCGCCTATCCATTTCTACTTTTTGAATGCGTGCTAACTCATCATAGTAAGACTCCTTGCCCCATTTTAATGGATCATATATTTCAGGTGGATAATTTGTATCCAATTCATTTATATCACAAAACTGTATAAGTTTTTCGTATATGCTAGGATTCCTAAAATTCTTTTTATCCTGAATTATCTTATTCATATCTAAGCCTTCATTTACCATCCTACTGTAAAACTTGGCTATAGTTTCTTGTAGTTCCTTTGGACATTTACCAGTTGGTTCTGGAGGTATAACAACCCCATCCTCAGAATCATCAGGATCTGATTTTTGCACTGCTTCATCTGTATCAGTTTCCATTGATAACCTTCTCATATCATCTTGATTTTCAGCGCTAGGAGATGACTGTTCTTCATCAGACACAACAGTGTCATCGTTATAAGAAACCAACCTTCTTTTAGGAGAAACTGGTGCCGATGACGGCTTAACTAATTCTTCGACATGCCTGGGGCTATTAGGAGCAGATTGCGTAGCTTTAGGTTCTTCTTTTTCGGGTGTTTGTTGCCCATCTTCCATATCTTCTTCGCCTTCCGAGTCTGTGTAAGTTGCAGTAAGAGATGCAAGAGCTTGTGATGTCATATTGGTGTTTTTATTTAATACCTCCGAAAATTATTATTTACCATACGTTATTAGGTAACGGTAAATAGTATTAAAACTTATTGTTTTCATACAATAAAACAAATTCAACACTAATTTTTTGTAAACTTTACTGACATGTCAACATGCCAAGAAAGTGACAATGACAACTGACCACAGAACACTTTTACTCAAAGAGCAACTGACCGACACTATCAGTAACAGCATCTCATCAGTTTTTTTTTGTTTGGATTCATCTCATCAGTTCTGAGTTCATTGATGTAGACACTTGTACAATGAACATGTTACAAAGTTAATTTATACTATAGAAATGATAAACGTATGGAAAATCACCGGTCTGAAGTGTTCTCCTATTTCCAGAGTGACAGCATCATTCACATGTTTCGTTCCAATAGTATAAAAACAGTATAAAAAGTATATCATAATCAAAGCAAAAAAAAAGACGGTAAGTGTTCGTCACTTTAGCATAAGTGTAAAAAAATCTCGAGGGTCATTCTCGTCCTCGAACTAAACTTATTTCCTTTCTTTGTTTACAACGAAAACGTCCCAATTTGGATAGTTTCACTCCGGGCGCGTTAACGACGTTTTGTAGTAAATATTATTGACACACAGTACTCATGATATGTACCTGAAATATATTGATGCGAGATGTCGCTAAAATATGGTATTTAAAATAAAAAAAATATACTCTCATAAAGTAATGTAGATAAACTATGATGTGTGTTTACCGTGCCTTATGACTTGTACATTGCAGACATTGATAATAGAATATTAGGAGGGGAAGGTAGGCACCATTCGTACGACTGGCACATACGTACAGTAGTTAAAAAAACACACGACAAGCTAGCGGAAGATCCTATGCATGAGTGCTTATGTGGCCTAACTATCAATACGTCAATTTAGTTTCACGCCATTCCCACCATAGAGAGCAAAGTGACAGACAGCAACGTATTTTCGCGCTCGGTAAGTATTTTTTTTTGATTAACGTTTACATTACACTAGATAAAATAACATCATATATGTTATTTCAAACCGTCATCGACGAATTGTTGACATTTAAGACGTCAACCCTGTTCATTACATTTGTTTTTCGTTAGTAATGTTACGATACTAACATTACTAACGAAAAACAAAACCTACTTCAAATATCTCGCTCTGTATTCATTTTATAATTGGTTTCCCTAAGTATCTCCGAAACCTACGATCCAATACTAATGAAATGACAATATGGGACCACACGGGAAGCACCAACTTTCAAATAAAAAAAGAATCATCAAAATCGGATCACTCAGTCAAAAGTTCTGAGGTAGCAAACATTAAAAAAATACATATTAGTAGTCAGTTAATGAATACAGAGCGAGATATTTCTTTTTTTATTATTTTTTTAATTTATTTTATTTTTAGGTCAGTTTTGTGTTTCGTTAGTAAAAAAATGGTTATGTTTTGTTTTGATTGGAAATAAATACATATTATACATATATAAACACCCAGATACTAGGAAATCACTATGTTCATCACACAATATTTTTCCGGTAGTGGGAATCGAACCCACACCCTCTGGCGCAGGAGGCAGGTACATTACCCACTACGCCATTCGGGTCGTCAATTATTCTTCATCAGTGTGTCCTACTGGTTCCCTCTTACCTGGCGCAATTTGTGTCCACTGCCACTGCCCTTTGAGTCCAAGTTCAAATCGATGGATTGACTACATTTCAATCAATCAAAAAATTTCTGTTAAGACCGGCAAGAAACTCAACAGTTGCCCTTTTTAAAAATAAAAAATATAAAATACCGGTACAATAGTCTTATTCTACCCTACGTGAGTATCAACCGTATTAAATCCACACATTGGCGTCGTCGAGATATTCCGCAATAGTGTAATATGCTTTAACCATAAGTTGACTTTTGATTTTACGTTTAAATTGATCAAGCGGCCGACTTAATATCGACTGTGGGATTTTATTTTACATGCGCACACCTTGCCCCATGAACGACCTATTTACTTTTTGTAGGCGAAACAATGGCTTAGTAAGTTTGTCCTTATTTCTAGTGTTTAATTTATGTCTGTCACTATTATTTAGGTAAAAATTAAGGTTATGACGAATATACAAAACATTTCAATAAATGTATTGAGAAGCAACAGTGAGTATATTAATCTCTTTAAAAATATCTCTGAGCGAACTCCGGGCTCCGATATTATAGATTGCTCGGACAGCTCTTTTTTGTAGAATAAATAAAGAATTCATATCGAATGCACTACCCCACAACAAAATGTCGTATGACAAGATGCTGTGAAAATAGCTGAAGTAAACAAGTCTGGCAGTGTCAATAGCTGCCTAATCCTTCTTATCGCAAAAACCGCGGAGCTTAGCCTATTCGCAAGAGATACATGGGGACTCCACTGGAGCTTTGAATCTACTGTAATTCCCAGAAATACAGCAGACTCAACTGGATTAATGGGTACTTTATTTAATATTAAACTAAAACTTTGGCAGGGTAAAAAGAACACATCTAGTTTTTTTGGCATTTAATACCATATTATTAATAGTAAACCAGTGGAGGATATGCGAAAGTGCACTATTCACCTCGCCATAATTTAATACATTTCAGTCAACCTTAAAAATTAACGATGTATCGTCAGCAAACAGAATGTAAATATTTGAATTATGAATTACATTTATTACATTTACATTTATCAATATTCGAATTATGAACTACATTTATTACATTTACATTTATTAAAATTTGAATGATGAATTACATTTATTAAATTTTATCATGCCAGGTGAATAGAACAATGAAATTTCGTGTTTTAAAGCTGATATCTAGAACTGATTTTACCAATTAAGCTAAACAGATAGAATAAACATTAAACAGCTGAGATTAAAAATTTTATAACGTTCCGTTAGATGAAACTAGCATTGTAGACTCATTCTTGTGTCAAATCAAATGAATTCTGACAACAGTCTATGTAATTTGACATTTAAAAATTGGTGATGGGGTGGTGGATATAAAGTAAATTAAATGCAAAAATACTTCTCGATATGATGTATTTTTAAGTTATATGATTGAGATCCCAGTGGTTGTGCAGACAATTACGATAGCAATGGCGACACAACCGAGCGACAATAGTGAGCTTCCGCCCGAGATAATACTGAAACCCTTGGCTCTGATTGGACTCTCCGGGCTCGATACCGTAAACAATGCAGTACATAAGACGATATGGGATGCGTTTTCCAACAATCGCAGACCAGACCGCGCGGCTGTTCGTTTCAAGTTACTTAATAACACTTTTGAGTTTCCAGTAGTCAAGCCCAAAAGAAACTCATATGAATGGTATATACCGAAAGGAATTATAAAAAAGAACTGGATTCACAAACGAGTAAACTTAATTCCAGCTGTTGTCGTAATTTTTTACGACATGGAATGGAATGATCCACAATGGAATGAAAAGATAATTGAATGTGCATCTAGAGTTCAGTCCATTCGAGCTGCAGTTGAAGGACACACTACAAAGGTTGCTGTTGTTGTTGTGCAGAGTGGTCTGTCACCACCCCCCTCTGAGTATATGCTAGGAGCTGAGAGAGCACAGGCACTCTGTTCGGCTTGTGAAATACAATCCAAATCTTTATTTGTTCTTCCTCACAGTGACCATCTTATGGGCTATATTATACGGCTTGAGAATGCTTTCTATGACATAGCACAAAATTATTATCATCATGAAACCAAAAATATCAAGCAGCACAGAGATCATCTCAACAAAACTACTCACCAGTATTTGTTTGTCCGTCATCAGTTTAAATTGGGTTATCTTAATGAGTTGAAGCAAGACCTCAGCACAGCTCATAAGCATTACATGCATGCATATAACAACCTGTTAGAGACTCGTACTGTTGATACCAACATGTCATGAGATCAGAACAGTTGCAGGCTACATAAATTATAAGCTTTGCAAGCTCTTGTTTGCATTGAATCTACCAAGGGATGCTATTGCACAACTTAAATCACACATTGAAAGGTATAAAAACAGGGTTGGTCCGACAGAATTACTGTTTGAGCACTATGCTTGGATTTCAAGACAGTACAGTGCATTTGGAGAGCTATTTGATGAAGCAATCCGTGCAGGCCTTCCAGCTATACAATCGCAACATCCAGGTTTCTACTACCAACAAGCAGCTCAATTTACTGTTATGAGACGACAAGCAATGAGATCTGTTTGTTGTGATGCACTACAATATCCACCACCTCCTGATCCATTGGAAGGTATAGTTGAATTCTATGGGCAAAGACCATGGAGACCCGGGAGACTCAGCGCTGACCCCCATGATCCACAGAAAGAACAGGCAGCGGTTTTAGCGTTACAGTATAATGAGAGATTGTTTAATCATTCTGCAATGATTATCAGCTTCTTGGGTAGTGCAATTTCGCAATTCAAAACATTCTACTCGCCCCGCATGAGGAAACAACTTGTAGTGGAAATGGCCAATGAATATTATTATTGTGCTGACTACGGAAAGGCTCTAACTCTTCTGACACATATGTTGTGGGACTACAGGAGAGAAAAATGGTGGTTTCTAGCATCCCATGTTTTGAACCGTGCATTGCAATGTGCATATTTGTCAGCAAAGATACAAGATTACATTCAACTGTCTGTGGAGGCATTATCTAAACACATTCAAGTGCCAAATAATGACAAAGATAGAATATTCAGAAACATAATGTCAGTTCTGAATCTTAACATCCCTTCCCCAGAGCCTGATTTACCAGCTTCATCACAGAGTAAAGCACTAGAACTATGGCAATTGGCAGTAGAAAAGGAACCATTTGCTATTTCAATAGATATGGCAAATATCTCTAGTTTCTTGGAAGTAAAAAGTAAATTTAAACAGCTGAGATATAGAACAGATGAACTTATTGAAGTTGAATTGTATGTACGCTTGACTTACATAATATCCCTTCAAGTAAAAAAAATGTCTTTAACAATATCTAGTAATACAGAAACAATAGAAATCCCTATAACAGATAATGAAAATTCTGTTATATCCTTAGTTGGTGGAAAAGTAAAAAAATTTCTTTGTCAATTCAAAATAAACCCCAATGACAGTGGGTCTGATATGCATATAAAAAATGTGTCTTTTGTTCTTGATACTGATAGGAAAAGAAAAATCATAATGAATTTCAAGGTAGAGGATAACAAAACAATAGAGCCCGCTGTACACCCTGAGCTGTTGCATTTCATTTTGAGTCCGAAAACAGACTATGAATTTGATTGCATTGTGCCTGTGACAGTAGCATCCATTACTGCCAGGGAATGCAGACTTTCATTAAGCATAACAAATGCATGTCCAGCATTACAGGGTGAATGGTTTCCTACATCTTTTACAATTACAAACAATGAAGAAACTGAGGTAAATGATGCAATAATTACTCTATCTCTTTTGAGTTCCCCTGATAATCCCAACCCAGATTCTGTAACAGAGTTGAGTTGGAAACAAGAACAGTCCCAGGGTTTACCTTTAAAAATATCAGCCGGTACTGTTGCCAGAAATGCAAGTTACTCAAACACCTTTTACTTAAAATCTAACAGGACAACCAGTACTACTATTCAAATTAGAGTGACTTATGTTATAGATCTGCCTGAAACTTCCAAATTGGAATGTGTAAAAGACTTTACAACAAAAGTGACTGTAATTAAACCTTTTGAAGTGACAACTCACTTTTTTGCCATGAATTTTAAATCAATCTCAAAATGCTTTGTTGATGATTCATTTATAGTGATGCCGCAAATCAAAATATTGAGTCCTTGGGAACTGCTCATTGTAGATACCGAGCTGGAAGTAGGAAATTGTTTTAAATGTGGTGATGACAATAAGCCCTCATCTTGTATTAGTAATTTAGAAGTAGCCGAGAAGAATGTTGCATCAGATGCAATTTGTATACAAGCCAAGTACAAACCGAAAGACCCGCCTACTAGGGTGGGACTCTATAATATTACATGGCGGAGAAGTAATAATATTGAGGGACCATGTGTAAGAAGCACTACCGCATTATCAGGGATTCCAGTCGATGACTGTCCAATATCAATAGAGGTAACCTATCCAGAAGTTGTAGAACTTCAGACTTCAATTCCGCTGAAATGCACCTTGTTTGGTAATTCCAACATTCCTGTGAGGCTTAGTCTCACTGTAGAAGGAACGGATGCATACATGTTCTCTGGGTATAAGAAGTTGACAGTAATAGTGCCACCACATGATAAAGTTGAATTAAGTTATAATATACACCCCCTTGTTGCTGGCAACACAACACCGCCAAGATTAAAAGCTACTGTATTGGGTGAAGGTGCAAACCAAGAGGTAGTAAGAGAGATGTTTGAAAAAATATTTCCACAGAATATATTTGTTATGCCTAAGTACAATAAATAAATTATAATGTAGTGTTATATTATAAACCTACAATTTTATTGAAATTTGTAAATAATTGTGAACAAATTGTGTAATTATATTGTAGTTACATTGTAATTATTTTAACAATAAATTCAGTTATTTGTTATTATTTTTTAATTTTTTGTTGCTACAATGTTAAGGGTTACATGAAAATAAAAATCTAAATATTAAGTGAAAAGTTTATTAATTAATACACTCTCAAATTAATCCTTTCTTAATTCAAACTTCTCTTCCTGAATTCCATTGGCTGTAATAATGACTATGTAGATTGAATCCCCAGTATAAATATCACGTTCAGCTGCACTTATGAAAACATCTTTAAGCAATGCAAGCGCTTTTTCTTTAGGTATTGGTACTTCACTCACATTTTGCATGTTTTTAAGCCCTATTTGATTATCAAGTAGTGGTTGTAACTGGGCACCGGCTGATCCTCCAGCGCGGAAAGTTGAGCGCTCACAGTGTCCGATTGGATCGTAGCTGTAGACGCAGCCCTTTCCTTCCGCATCCAACCCCGCCAGAATATTAGAAACATAATAGGGGAAAAAACGCTTATAGTACAACATCGTAGAAAGCATTTGCGCCACGGCAGGGGTGGACATCGATTTATTGTGTTCATGTTCATACATTTGCAATCGTGCCTGCAACAGTCGCGTCAGTGTCAAAGTGTCGCACCAGCATCCGGTAGCCCCGAGGACAGTGCGTTCGGAGAGTTTGAAAAGCTTCTTCTGTTCTCTTGTATAAATCGAAAAGCCAGTGCTTAGTCGAGTATCTGCACCAATCACGGCGTAATCTTCGCCGGCGATGGCCACAATGCTCCCGCCGTTGTCGGCATAGGGCTCGAATCGAACTTGTTTAACGCCGGGTACAGCATATTCAGGAAAATTGTTATTTATGCTCAACATTTTGTTTTATTTTAAACAAAAGATTTCAAAGTTAAATTACTAGAATCAAACTAACGGATGACAATGCACAATTTCACAAGTTCACAAGTGAAGTTTGTTGACACTTGACATTACTTTGACAATTGATTTTTTTAAATTTATTTATTGACCACAAATACAGAGTACGACAATACAATATCAGCCTATCGCCGTCCACTGCTGAACGTAATCCTCCCCCAAAGTGCGCCAACTATCCCGTCCTGTGCAGCCCGCATCCATCCGCTGCCCACCACCTTCCGTCAGTTCAATGAATTGTTAAAAATATTGTTTATTTAATTGGTGATTTTTTTGTACCAAAGCTTTCACAGGATGGTTCTGTGTCGGTGCATTTGGCAGCACAACCACATTCAAAACGTATGGCCTCCACGGTTCTTATGCCGGCACTGGGGTGCTCCAGCCTTTTTTACCTCTCCCAGATGGCGTTTGAGCGCAAGCGATAACTGCGCTCCCACAACTCCTCGGGGGCCAGCATATGGACTTTGCCTCCTCACGCACAAGAACGAAGCGATTCGCATCGTCATTAATTTATTATCCGTACGGCTAAGGAATGGCTGCCAGCGTCAGTCATTCCGTCTGATTATAACGTAGGCGTCTTCAAGGCAAGAGTGAATAAATAGGCTTTTACTGACCTAGCGCGCTTACCATCAATGGCGGCATCGTCACTTTCCAGGTGGGATGGCAGCCAAGCGCTAGTCAGTTCCATAAAAAAAAGAAGAAGTGCAATGACGCGAGGATCTTAGCTTAGATCCCAAAGCAGGAAGCCAGCAAAAAGGCAAGCCGCATCATCTGAAATCGTCCGGTAGCCCTATATAATGGACATAAATATCTTTAAGCAAAGTTTAATACATACCAACTGGCACTGTGCATCGTCTAGTAACATAAACGATATGGTTTACTTTTTCAATAATACTGTATTAGATATATTCAATGCTCACGCACCTTCTAAAACTGTTTGTATAAAAAAAAATTACTATCCTTGGATAACGTATAACATAAGATGTATGATGAGAACGCGTAACGAAGCACAAGTTAGAGCTCGCAAAACAAAACTTACTTTACATAAGGATTACTATAGGGAACTTAAGTCAATAGTTAGTAAAGCGATTTTTTCAGAAAAGACTGCCTATTTCAAATTTTATAACTCCAAACTAAATCAACCTAAAATAACGTGGAAACATATTAAACAACAAGTACAAATAAAAAGTAAGGATACCTCTCTACCATCTCATTTTAGTGACCCTAATGCCTTAAACGATCATTTTTTGAAAATTCCTGGAAAAAATGATGTTTCATTGTCCCTTCTCACTTTCTTTGAATTTAATGGCACTAATGATAGCTCTTTTCATTTCAAAGAAGTCTCAGAAGATCAGGTTGTTAAAATTATAAACTCTTTGCGGTCTAATGCAGTGGGATGCGATGACATTTCACTTGATATGTTAAAGTTATTACCTAAAGATGCTATTACAGAAATAACACGTATAATTAATACATCGTTTGCGACACATGCCTACCCTGATCTCTGGAAAAAAGCAATCGTGAAAACTATACCTAAAACTAGTAACACTGTTTATATGTCGGATCTTAGGCCCATTAGTATTCTACCGTGCCTTTCTAAAGTGATTGAAAAGCTTGCATGTAATCAACTAACAGAGTACCTAGAATCAAATAATGTTCTTCCCAAGCTGCAGTCTGGTTTCCGTAAAAAGCACAGCACTACCACTGCGCTTATAGCGGTCGTAGATGATATATTGACTGCACAAGCGAATGGGGAAGGCACGATTTTAACACTTCTTGATTTCTCACGGGCGTTTGAAACCCTCAATATTCCGTTACTTCTGTCCAAATTATCTTATTATGGAATTAATAGAAGCGCAACCCATTGGTTTGCCAGTTACTTTGAAAATAGGTCACAACGGGTTGATATGCACTTAAGTGAAAGGGACAAAATTATTTCTACAGAGCGACTTGTGGACCGAGGTGTACCCCAAGGATCTATCTTAGGTCCATTACTTTTTTTAATATATAGTGCAGATCTTATCAAAAATATTGAGCATTAAAATATGTAGAAAAAGTGCGAAAAGATTGTCGCCGTTGTGGGAATCGAACCCACGTCTTCGGCATTCGCGGCCTGACGCTCTAGCCACTGAGCTAAACGGCTGATTGCCACACCGAGGAAAATCTTAACGCATTCTTCCACATTGTTTTCTTAGCATTTGAAGCAATGCTTGGCGCCATCTATTGTTATATCCTTTCCAGCATACAAACAATTTCGTTTTACAACGATAATTCGAACGAGAGATGTCGCCATTGCTTTTTTAGAAATTTAAATTGTTTATTGTTTTAAGATTTTCCTCGGTGTGGCAATCAGCCGTTTAGCACAGTGGCTAGAGCGTCAGGCCGCGAATGGCGAAGACGTGGGTTTGATTCCCACAACGGCGACAATCTTTTCGCACTTTTTCTACATATTTTAATGTTCAATCTTAAGTGCAAAGATTAGCACTATAAACAATTTAAATTTTCAAAAATATTGAGTATTGTAAGTATCACATGTACGCTGTCGATTTACAGATATATATTTCATTTAAGCCTCGTGATGTTCACGCAGCGGTAGCAAAGTTAAATTTGGATCTAAGTCGGATATCTTTGTGGTCAGAGCGTAACGCACTATTTCTCAATCCAAAGAAGTCGCAGTATACGATTCTAAGATCGCCCAATCAAATAAATAAGATCATACAAAGTCACCATGCCATTACCGTTAACAACGAATCCATTGTAAGAGTGGCGGAATTCAGAAATTTGGGGGTAATAATGGACGACAAACTGCGTTTTGAGAACCATATTATGGGTATTGCACGTAACTGATTTTACAGGTTGAAAGTATTATATCGTATTCGTGATTATCTAAGTGTTCCCTTACGTATCAATCTGTGCGAATCTCTCGTACTTTCAAAATTCAATTACGCAGATTCTCTCTTAGGCCCACGTCTCTTATCACGAACAAGGCAAATAATACAAAGAGTACAAAACGCCTGTGCACGCTTCTGTTTTAATATACCGCCTCGTGCACATGTAACGCCTTTCATAAACAACGCAAATATCCTAAAGATGGACCTCCGCAGACGACTACACTTCGCCTTACTTTTATTTGGGACTATTAAAAACAAAGAGCCGTTATATCTTTACAATAAGTTGATTTGGGCTAAAGATCAAAATGAGATGTATAATACAAGATCATCTAATTATAAATTAGTCTATCCTTTCTACCGTTCGGCCGCTTTTAGAGGCAGTTTCAAATACAATGCCACTAAGTGCTGGAACAACCTCTCGCCTCCCTTGCGTGACCTGAAAACAATAAGTGGATTTAAAAACAAGTACAGATTGTATCTGCTTGTAGAGCAAAAAAAATCTGCCTAAAGATTAATAATACGATGTAATATAAGATAATGTAATTTGATATGATATAATATAATATAATTCAAGAAAATATAATATATACCTTATAATTGTCTATACCTGTATCATAAATTTATTTTTAAAGTCAATCACTTTTTTACCCATATCACGTGGCCAATGCGCAACGAGGTTCGTCTCGCACTTGATGTTTGAAATTATTACACGTTTCAACCACTTAATCGTTAAGTGTCATAGTACCACAGAGTAGGGATAAACATTGGTAACCTAAAACAGAAATTGAAAAATACTATCTGACACCAATATTAAAAAACAAACATTAGTTTTAATTTTTACTTACCTCATCAGACGAATGCCAACCACTGTCTATATTAATGAAAGATTCAAACAAAAACAATTTAATTTTCGCTATACTGCGCTGTAGCTATTTTTTGCAAGGTCACTGTCGCAGCCGTCCGAGTTGCCTCGAAGTGCGGGCCCGACTGAAAACCGGTGTCGCGATCACTATCTCGACTATTACCGAGTCCCGTCCGTTTCACGGTCTTATGCTGCTACACATACCGTCACATGTTGTTGTTTGCTTATTTTTATGTTTACATTTATTTTAAGTTTCTGTGTAGTTACATTATTATTTTTAAGTTTTGTATGTATTCATTTTAGACCGTGAATAAACGTTTCTTCTTCTTCTTCTTCTTCTTCTTCTTCTATATGACCCGGATAGCTAACACCCGATAGAACGAAAGCACTTGTCTCCGTACAGGGCAGCCCCATCCACCTGCGCAAAGTGGACGAAGAAGTGAAAAGTAGATTCCTGGCTCCCTCTAAAAAGACCCTCTTCTCGAAAACACTTTGGTTGATTAAGTTTCATTTTTAATTATTATTAAACCACTCACTGGACGTTGAGTGGTTTAATGACTTAATATCCAAGTGAGTGATTAAACAATTAATTTCCACCTTATATATTTTTTCAATAAAAAGCCGAATATATGTGCGTTTTGGTATAATGGTATCGTGCATCAGTAAAATTCGTTCCCATCATTTTTCTTAAACGCGCTAAAAGAAATATAACTTCAGTAATTCACTTTCAAACAGCACATTTGTTCTGTGGCCAAAAAGGCGAGCCTTCATGCGGGTGTCTATTACAATTCATAAAAACAAAGCAAGTCAATCGATCCATGGGACCCACTGATCGACTCGGCTTGGTTCACTATCGATACTGGACCCTATCCAGAATAAGTAAAAAGTTGAAATTGCGATTTAATTTAGAGACATTCTAATTTATTACGACCGCATGTGAAAAAATTAAACTTCGACAGCAATTATTTTACAAAAACAATTAGTTAATGACAACACTAAAGAGATAATTTAAAGGAACCGTCCATAGGGTTCGAACGATTCTAACGATTAATAAATGAGCGCATTAAACGTTTCATTTCAAGCCCAGGTTTCGAATATTATGTCGGAGATATTATGTCCAATGTCCAATGAAACTGTTGGTCGACGAAGTTGTTAAAACCGCGGAGCAATTAGCATATGTACACTGTTTAAAATATAGTGTAATTATTTTTTATAATGTTCATATTCGTTTTATGATGTTCGTTATTTAATACTAATCTGTAATATAATCTGTTCATGAATAATTTCGTGAGAGTGTTAGTCGTGTTAGTGTTCTGTGGTATTAGTATAACTTCATTCAGTATTGATTCTATGAATCTGTTTCACCACGTCAACGTCTTGGTTTTGTCAAACTTGAAGGAACTGATTAGTAATTATTTGAAAAGCCCGACAAAATCTGGAAAACTTTTATAATAATGTCCTCATTAACCTCAGTGATTCCTAAACTCTACCAGGAATATATTAACAAAACACCCAAGAAACTAAAAATTATTGATGCTTATTTACTATATGTGTTTTTGACCGCTGTAATACAATTTATATATTGTTGCCTTGTCGGAACCTACCCTTTTAATTCTTTCTTGAGTGGATTTATCTCTACTGTTAGCTCATTTGTTCTCGGTGGTAAGTTCAATAATTTGATTAGAACCTTGTTACTGTAATTGTTTGTGAATATTATATCTATAAGGTACTCGGTTTTTATTACAGTGTGTTTGCGCCTGCAAGTGAATCCAGAAAATAAGAATGAATTCCAAGGACTGAGTGCAGAGCGCGGTTTTGCTGATTTTATTTTTGCCCATTTAGTACTACATATTGTGGTAGTAAACTTTATAGGTTAAATAAGTTATAATTCATATAATTTTGAATTAAAAAAAATGCACGACTAAACAGTTGATTTTATTTGTCTCCGACTCTTGTGAGTTTAACCTTGAAACTGTCCCCCACTCGGTAACGAAAAGAGCCAATTGGGAAAAATCGGGTGCATGAGACTGTCTGGTATGTTGCATGCAAAGATAAAGGACAGGCTGTTATGCCAGATCTTCTATGCTTTTGTGACATCGAAAAATAGCACCCGGTATTTATATGTTTGGAGTAGTTGGGGCCTTTTAGGATGTGCTCCGTCTTGCGAAATATCTGCTTAGGAATGGAGTCGGAATTTGGATGCTTTCACCGGAATAAGAATTAATTGATATAAAGCTTTAACTGTGGTAGGGCCATGCAAGTCTTCTTGCTTGAAAGGGCAGGTCCGTCTGGGTACTCATATAAGACTGGCGTTAAGTGGAAGTATTACACTTGTGTGTTTTGTCTAGATTGGTGAATGAGGTAGGGCTCGCTTTATATGGGTGAAAATGCATCAGTACCCCTATGGTCAATTAATATCAGGTGAACGGTCAGTTCGCTTGCCACCTTCTCACATAAAAGTAGTATAATTAGCTGATCCAGAAAATGTTGTTTTGTGGAATTTCATAAAATCCGTTCTTAGCTGACCTCTTTTCGGCGAAAGGAATATTCCTACCAGTCTCTACGCCTTATGGTTCCAGTGATATCGTGATGAGTCAATTATTGGTGGAAAAATATATTTTAATTATTCCCACACTTGAGGAGTGATCGTCGCGATAACTGGTGGGCTGGTTGGGCGCGTTCTTTTATTAAACGCGTAAAAAAAGAGCAGATGGAAAAAATATTTTCAATATTTTCCAGCTCAGCTAGCTTGTCAATCAATAGACAAGTGGACTTGGGAGGGATTTTTAAACTTAACTGTTATTTTTCTCATAACCGCAAGGAGGACTTTGATGTGGATCTTTTTAATGTTTGACAGTAAGAGGTCATGATAAGTGAACTTTTTTGATTTTAGCAAAAACTTGTAAGTTTCTTTATGAAAAAAAAACGACAATTTATTAAATATTTTATTTTGACTAGTTTCAACAAATTTATTAAATTAAGTGTAACATTACTAAAAGTTAATTAAAGTGAGTAGCCAAAATTTCTAGTTTGCAATAAAATGTATAAATCTATATTATTACAGCCAGCAAATACAATAATAAGTACGTTAATTTTAAACAAGATTTTGAAGAAAGCGCATTTTGGCTACAGATATGGATGCATCTTCTTTTACTGTCTAAAACTAAAAACCTTGTAAGTAATAATTGCTGCTTCATTGACATTCATGTTAATCTATCAAAACAAAAGAAATATAAAAATCTGAAAGTAAACAATGTTTTAAGAATTTGTGTTTGTAACTGTACACTAAGCAAAAAATAACTGCTAATAATGGTTTTATGTAAACTTATGTATCTTCATAATTTGCAACTAACTTTCTGTATAATAATCAGCTTGTAATAAAAAAACATATCTTTATAACTTATGGAATAGAATAAGTTCAAGTATTTATGCAGCCAACTGCATAAAAAAAATTTAACTTAATAAAAATCAAAATCATTATATGAGAAATAATGTTGTGCCGCCAAACAAATCCATTGTTTTTAATTATAAAACACCAATCTCTACAGGGAGGGATTGTTGGAAAGGTGAAACACCTTGGTTACCCAAATTTACTAATTTTAGTAAATTTACTCAATAGCCATGCATATGTATACCTTAGACAAGTTACACACACACTTTGTTTTGTAACCCCACAAAATCAGTTAGCAAATTAATGTCTGCTCATCACTTCATATTCAAATATTATTTTTTCTATTGTTTGCCTATGCTTTGGTTACGGCATTTCATCACAATCAGAACAAAGCGTGAATGTGTAACTTGTAGTGGTAGATATTAATAACAAAGTCCCAATAGAAAAATATTCTCTCAAAGGTACTGTACAAAAATATGTGGATTGTTAAAATATGGTAATTTATGGTAAGGCTAATTTTGGTAATTTGTACAAAATGTTCATGGAACTATGCAATAATATTACTAGTAAATATATGTGGACCTAATTACAACCATAGCTACTAAAAATATAAATCTAGCATGAAAACAAATATATTTTAATGTAAGTGTGATATAAATTATTTTAACATTAAAACAAGCACTACTTTTATTACTTTATTATCTGTTTATTAGTCCATGACTTCTGCAAATTGTAAATAGTAGTCAGAACTCTGATACCAACTGCTAAATCCTTATCTGATCATGTGATATATACTCAACTCTATTCTAGGTTGTGTCACTTAAAATATCACACACTTATAATTAGACCAATATATGGCTACTTATATCACTAAAGATTTAAATTATTTTCTGAGTTATTATCACAAATAATTTTACCAAGTCCATCACAAAATTTCTCATATTTTTCAATACATTTTGTGTTTGTGTAGAACACATTTGAAAAGTGTATGTTCGAAAAATGAAAGCTACAGTATCTAATCAATATATCACTGGAGTGGGGAATTTATTTATAATTTAGAAATTAAGTTTAAGCAAAAAAAAATAACAAAGATGTAGCCTTAAATCTATGTTAATTAAATATTTTGTCTCACCTTTTATTTTCATCTTCTATACCAAAATAAAGTCATCTCAACACATAAGGAACATATAAATCTTTTATAGGTGGCAAAAGGCGTAGACTATATTAAAATGTGGGGTGTTTAACTAAAATATTTTTGTCATCTTTCTTGTTTAAACCTTATGCACCTAAACAAGGAAGTAAGGTAACAAGTAAGGGTTAATATAGCCCTCATTCAATTCAATTATTAATTTTAATTGTTACTAACAATTTAGATGGTGTTTGGGCAAAGTGCTTATATATACACAAGACAATAAAGCATGGATTGGTTATACATGTATGAAAAATTGTAAATTAATAACGCTTTTTTTTATCACTTTAGGAGACCAAGTGCATATCAATTAACTCTAAATTAAAAGCTATTTTAATTTGAATGCACATTTTCAGCATCACTGCATCATATAAAAGTTGAAACGATAAAACTAGTAATGATGTGCTTGAACTTGACAATTTCACATTCCAACGCGTCGGGTACAGTTGTTCTCTGCTTATATCACTCACTTAACCGGAAGCGCAACCCAGTAGTTACGTGGGGAGATCAGTGTCTGTGTGCGTGTCAGCGGGGCGCCGCGTGGGCGCCGTATGCGGCGTGGGCGTGCAGGGCCACGCGCCGCATAATGTTGCGGAACACTCAGCTGCGCGGCGGGCCCTGCGCCGGCGGCTGCGCCAGTGGTTGCTGCTGCTGTTGCTGCTGCCGCTGCAGGTAGCGGCGGCGCGCCGCGGCCACCAGCTGCTCCTTGCGCCGCTGCAGCATGCTTTCGCGCTCCGCTGCACTTTTTTCGAACTGCACCGCCATGGATGAAGGATCCATTCTGCAAATTACGCATTACATGACCATATAAAATACATTGAACCATAATTGTAAATCTAATATATATAAATTTTGGACAGTAATTAAATTTTTTTCATAGTCCCAATCTCTGCACTTAAGTTAATCTTTGACATTAAAATTTGTAGAAAACGTATGTATAATAAATGACTTAACACTCACTGTTCATCATAATCTGTGGCGGATGCGGCAGTTCCGTTGAAGTCGTCCAGAGATCCAGTGCTGGTTGTTGATCCAGATGTGGTTATGGCGTCAACTGTAGTATTTGTGGTCGGCTCCGGTATCGTAGATTCATGGACTTGCGGTGCGACTGGCTCCTCTATTCATCATAAAAATTGGTTTGTACAGAAAAGTTTTTGTTTACGTAAAAGGCTCGTCACCGAAGACAGAGAGACAGATAGCAGCGCATTACCCGGGGGCGGGGCTATGGGCAGCAGGCGGCCGGCGAGGATGTTCTCGACGGTGAGGTCGGGCGAGCGCGTGTGCGCCAGGTCGGCGGCGAGCGCGGCGAGCGCGAACTGCGGGAACACCTGCTGCACCTGGCGCGCCATCGCGTCCAGCTGCGACGCGGCCGCCGGCGAGGCGCGCGCGCGGCTCACCTCCACGGAGAAGCTCGGCAGCCACGACACGTACCGCGACCCTGCGAGGTCGCAATCCGTCACTATATACATCCATACATCGATACATCGCTGCTATTCTGATATGACATATAAATAGCCTCACAGTACTAAACATAACCTATAGTAGAAGAGAAATTGGACTGAATAGACCAGGTAAAAAGGGACAAGCTAACGAGTTCAGTTTATTTGAATAGAGTTTAAAGGAATATTATACAGTTTAAATACAAAATTTAATCCATCTAAAATTACATATTATCTAATAAACCTAATCCACGCGACATAGTGCCAAGAACTCTAGTTGCATTTCCTCGCTGAATAGTTAATGTATATATATATATATACCTTTGAGCGAAAAAAGAACCAGCTCTGCTGTCACCAGCCGCGGTGTCAAAAATAGGATAATAAATAAAAAAAAATTATATACGAGACCCCACGGATCTAAAGTTTCAGTTGAATAGAGTTACTTCAAAGAGTTCAATCACACTTATACCAGAGGGCTGGTTACGCACCGGATAGATCCCATTCCAAAATTCCCAAATGTGACAGCAGGAGGAGCACAACACTAATAATTATAGAGAGTAAAACGATGTAAAGAAGATGACGGTGTTTCATTTATGTGATACATTTGTAATTAAATACTTATCGATTTATTGCACTAAAATTTTCGTGATCAACTGTCAAATCAAAGGCGCAAGTACAGTGTTACCAACTCTCAAAAATATTTATCCCTAAAGCTTAAGTCTAAACTAAAACCCCCCAAATAAAATAGAGTTATAAATAAAAAATAGCGCAGACTTTTCGCATTAATTTTCACATGAATGGAATATTACATTGAATTATATTGCAGCGACATAGCAAGTATATTGTGGGGAATTTAATTTTATAAAAAAAAATTCTCTCTTATGATTTCCTTACACAATCAATTTTTTGATCGTTATTCCAAAAATAAGATTAATATTGAATGATAAAAAAAATTACCTACTTTTGGCGCTTTTCTTAAAATTTATCATACGCTACCGCTATTGAATGCGTTTTGACAGCCAGTTTTTATCTCAACTCTAAATAGTTGAATGCCGCATTCTTAGCATTGAAAAACCGTACTAAATGTCGCTAAGCTGCTAGGTCAAATAAACATCATTGCGTTACTTCAGGCCCGTTATATGATTTAATCAAAAACAAGAAATAAAACAAATATAAGAAATCACAAAATCCCTAAAAATCTAACGCCCCTAAAATCCCTCATTCGTTTACCCCCGTAAATTTTGGGGGAAACCCCTAAATTGAAAACCCTGCGCAAATATTTTTTTTTTAATTATTACCATTATAGTTAACCGCTATGGATTTCTCCATACAGCCTATTCATTATTTATGTTGTGACATTAGTGATTTATTTATTTTATAACATTTTTGGGCATATTACCTGTGTTATATAGAGTCACAAAACAAAGGAATGTAAAATTACTGAATTTAATTGTTAGGTTAATAAATATATTATATAAATAAATTTTTGGTAAATAGAACATTTACCAAAATTTTTTTATAAAAAAATAATGAAGATTTTTATTTATTTACTTTTTCTCTTAAGAAAACTTTTAATAGTTATTAATTATTAAGACGATTTGATTGGAAAGTTTCAAGGATCAATATCAGGGTCAGGAAAGCTCTTTTTTGAAGCTCATTTGCTCAAAGGTTGAGATTAATTATTCGGCGATAAAATTTATTAAGCGTTTGTGTAATAGGTTTGTTAGATAATTTATTATTTAACGCATATTGGTAAGCAATAGATTCTTTCTTATTTTCATCAATCTTTATTAAAAATTATAAAGGATAAGTGATTTAATTTTACGGGGTCGGTATTAATTAATTCAACTGAATGTGCTAGAGATTGACAAAATCGATTGGCATCATTATTTGGGCGCGTCCGAAAAGAGTTTTTCTTTAAACCTGCACAGAGTATTTATCGTGCGAGGGGGGGGCATGTGCGGGGACTTACCGTCGAAGTGGAAGAAGTGGTTGGGGGGCGGTGCGGCGTCGGGCGCCCTCGGCGGCAGCGGAGCGAGCGGGGCGAGGGGCGCTAGGGGCGCGAGGGGCGCGAGGGGCGAGCGGGGCGCGAGGGGCGCGAGGGGCGCGGGCTCGCCGGCCGCCAGCGCGCGCCGGCACGTGGGGCACGACGCGTCCTGCTGCACCCAGCGGCACAGGCACGAACTGTCCGACACACTTTCTATAGGACCGTCGCGAGCGGCGGCACCACCGCCTCACGGAAGGCCGCCGAATGTGCAAGTGTTTTTCTTATTTACTAGTCTGGCGAGTGAGGTAACGAGGGCCCACATTTTTAAGGGTTGTCCATGCTTCTGCATGCCCTTGGGCGCTGTAGATGTCATAATCACTTAACACCTACTCAAATGTCTGCTCGCTTGACAACTTTTCACATTTCACAAGAGGGAATAAACCAAAATTAATTAATGTTTCCTGGAATATGATATATGCAAAACATTTAAGCTTAATATAATTTATAATAAATTTAATAAGAAGTTTACCTCAAGTTAGGCTTATGCCTATAGGACAAAAATGAATAACAACTATTCTAAATCCACATGTCCAGGCGCTACTGATGATTTTTATTGATTCTATTGCATTAGATTTAATTTACTGCTTCTAGTTTTCAATTTGCTAACCCATGGTATATATTGATGTGCAATTGTAAAAACTACATTAAGTAAAAGTATTGAACTACTGTATTGTGACAACCCCACCTAGGTCAGTCAAGGGCAGCAGGAAGACTTTGAATGATTATAACTTTGCATAACAGCATAAAACAATGGAGATTGGTAATTTAAATAGTTTTTTCGAATTAAAATTAAAGCAGCATACATTAATTTATATGTAACTGAAAACATTAATCTATTCTTTCAAATTAGCGACTGTTAATTCTGACTGTATCAATAATAACTACCGACAACTATTTTACTAATTTACACCATTCGGGAAGTATAAATACTCAATTATGAACCCATGTGATTGTAAAAAGGTAGGCATTAGCTGTTGACCCACTGTTGACATGATGTGGTTCTTTAAGTGTGTACGGAGAGGTTGATTTACTTGTGGAAGAGGTGGGAGCAGGGCAGCTTGCGCGCCTCCTTCATGGGCTCCCAGCAGATGGCGCAGTTGTCCTCGTTCTTCTCCACCTCCTCGCGGCTGGCCATCGGGTAGCTGCAGCGTTTGAAGTATTTATCAGAAAAGTTGTATTAAACAGATGCACTTACATAATATTTTTTCTTTTTGACATCTTTCTGTACATCTACTACCCATCTTGTCTGTACCACCCAAAGGTTGACTGCGATAATGCCTTTGGCGTTAAGTCTGCCTTTATACTAATTGTGCATAAATAATAAATAATAAATAAAAAGTAACGGCCTTGGCCTGGAGTTACCACTGCTGGGAAAAGGTGTCAATCCGCCACGCGTCCTCACTAAGGATCGCCGATTTCAGTTATCTTGGAGATATATTTATTCTTATTTATTAAATGTTTAGATTTTCATTTTCATGGATATTTGGACAATAGCTGCCAATTTCTTAAGGATTGGCAACATACTGCAACAACAGACTGCAGACAGTGTTGTAGATTGTGATTTTTCAACTCATAAAATCAATTAGCGAGCAATAGGAATAGCAATATTGTGCACTAGGTTAGTTAATGTGGCTTTAAATGTGGCTGAGTCGACAATAAGCCAGGATATCGCAGTATCGAAATTTGCTCGTATTTTTATGATGATCTCTTTTATAGCGAACTTTGAATAGTTTTTACAACCATCTTCGATGTCCAACAGTGGACTCCTGGGCTGTGATACTGATGCTTCTGGTGTTTTAAACATATATTGTAGATATTTTTACGAGTAAATATTGCCGAAAGACGTTGTTAATTAAGGTCGGTTTCTGTCGCGTTAAATTTCATTCATGGTCACAGCCCGCCCGTACAGTGACCATGAAACCAGTAAATCGAACTTTTGGGATTTTAAATTAAAGGCGATAAACCGTTGTAATGAAGCAATGCGAAGTATTTGTTTAAATAAAATATTGTTTTAACCTCCTTCAACCAACGTGATATTTATGTAACTACGTGAGTTACGTCTTAAGACATTTATCTAATTCGAATTCTTTGTATTTATTATGATCAGGTTTATCAAAAGCCGTAAATGGCGTGACTTTAATATAACCTATGCTCGTTTACTTTATTTAAAATTACTTTTCTGACATACATTGTTTTTATAGATAAATCAACGCTTACGCAGTGTTTATTATTTTCGTAAACTTCTTATCGAAAAAAAAACATGTTCATATGTAAACTGTTATATCTGTTATAATAATTAGCTGATAGTTGTGGACGCAAATTGTCGAAAGCAAAATTATCGTCCAGAGTTCATTACTTTTCTTTTTTTTATTCAACACTCATTAGAAAAAAACACGTAAACGCCAGTAAGTACTACGACCTCACAGAAGACGTCATGTCGAAATATTATACTTTTGTACAGACACCCCCATGTCTGCCGCTCAGGATAAGCATCGGCAGCCCTACAGGTGTTGTAGAGGAACGGCGGCGGTAATCATTTACCACCTTTTACTGAAAATATGGTCTATTAAAACATGTAGAAAAGATTGTCGCCGCTGTGGGAATCGAACCCACGTCTTCGGCATTCGCGGCCTGACGCTCTAGCCACTGAGCTAAACGGCTGACAGCCACAGCGACGAAAATCTTAATGCCTTCTTTCTACATTGTTATTTAGCATTTGAAGCAATGCTTGGCGCATCTATTGTTGTATCCTTTCCAGCATACAAACAATTTCGAATATCGTTTTACATGTTTTAATGTTCAATCTTAAGTGCAGAGATTAGCACTATAAAAAAAAACTTTAAAATATGATCTATGTGCGATTTTCGTCTTAGATTCTAAACATCATTGAAAACTGTTGTGAGCTCATTAATTTCGTTAGAGATTACGTAACATTACAAAATAAACGTGAGCCTAGTGCGATAACACCAACGAATAGAATTAGATGCCCTCAATCAATTAAAGGACCGGAGATGAGGCGTCGGCCGTTGCGAACCCGCTCTATGAAAATCTCATCAATTTCCAATTACACTTATCTTATATCAGGTGAGTCACACCTAAATGAGAATGAACTAAATATTTTTTTTGGAATCACAAAATTAAATAGATATTTCTGGACGCATGTTAACACAACGTTGTCCAATCGGCCGCGATCCAACCCAAATTCGGGAGCGTTGCTGATTAGTTGTCGACCGTTAAGGCGTATAGGCGCGGTATATTTACTTATTATATGCACTACTTATTATATTATGTGAGAACATAATAAAAAATTCATAGCTATTATTTTAGATGTAACAGATCAAGAAATGGGATGATGACACGAGCCAATGCGCACTGCAAACTCACTCAGAGCGAGGCATCAACGGTAGGTTGTACAAGTTGCTGTGGGAGTTTGGCGCACTCACTTGCGGCTCATGTGGTCCGCCAGCGCGGTGTACAGCCTGTGGCGGCGCAGGCGGGCGAGCAGCGCGTGCAGCAGGTGCCGCAGCTGCATGAGCAGCACCAGCGACGCCATCGACACCAGCGCGTTGCTGTGCACCACCATGTGGGCCACGTGCGCCAGCTCCGTCACCAGCGACACCGACTACAACCGAATAGACGCGGTCATGAACAATATACAATTGAGAACGCTTTATAAAATCACTAACTATAATTTACTAGAATGCATCAAACGCAAAAGTTTTTACTGCGTAAAATTTTAATTTATTCCTAGATCTTGCTGCTGTTAACAAAACAGTAACGAAATCAAGATTAGTAATTTTTGACCTATCAGCGCACTAGTAAACGACGAAGCAACAAAACGTACGGGATTAAATTATCTAGAAATTTGGAATAAAAACAAGAAACAACTGTGATTTTTGACTGAGCGATTTTTAAAGCTTATTTAAATATTTTTATGGCGGATATTAGAGTTTGCCAAAATTTAACATTAAATAGAGCAACTATTATCGAAAAGAGTCGGTGAAGTAGCTATATGCAAATGGGCCGAAATGTAAAAGTCGTAGCGTAGAGAACGAGGGGGAGGGAAGACTCCGCCTAGAGCCACGGGACGAAGGAGACATTGGTACTCACGTCGAACACCAGGTGGGTGTAGTAGGCGGCGGGGCCGGCGGCGTCAGCGTCGCGCGCCTTCAGCACCACCCGCGCCACCACGTGCAGCGCGGACACGCACACCAACAGGCACTGAGGAACAGGAGTCAAGGCTGTGACTCACCCCCTACACTTAGGTTCAGGTCGGAGCGACATCTTCTTATTAAAAATAACTTCTCTCGGCCACATCAATCTTACAGTAATTGTAATTATATATATTTATGATGAAGTATATTTAGTTTTGCCATATTCTTTATGATAGACACTAAAAATCTTGTATGTCATTTTAGCGTTACTACCCGTAACTTGTACTCAACCACCAAAGGTTAACTGGAAGAAAATGCTATTTAGCATTAAGTTCGCCTTTGTACAAACTTCTAGTACAATAAAGAATATACAAACAAACAAACAAATAGTAAGCTTATGACACTAATGATTTCCTTTTTTTTGACTACTGACGTACTGCAGAATTAGTTCGGCTGACTGTTTTATCACAACAAATTCTATGAGGATTAAACAAAGCGAATTCCCCGATTTGAAACTTTTTCAATGGACGCCATCCGAGTCATACACGTGTGCTCACCTCTGCCGACATGAATGCGAAGGTGTCGCGTCCGGCGGGGAGGCCCCAGCGAGCCGCGGCCACCATGAGGGCGGTGGCGGCGCAGAGGATGCCCAGCAGCAGCGCCAAGAGGCGAGCGTGCGCCCAGCGGGCCGTTTGCGGGGAGGAGGACAGCTGTACGAAGACAAATTAACAATTCTTTTGTTATGCAACTAACTGTAGTTCACATCATTTAACTATCGTAGGGTCTTGGTCCAGGAAGTTACCACGACCTCATAATAGACCGGCGTCAAGTGGAAGTGTTTTACTTGCGCATTTCATCTGGTGAGGTTACCGGGGCCCACTTTATTGAAAGGCCACCCTGCGGGTGTTGCAAATGTTCATAGGCGGCGGTTATTACATAATATTAGGTGAAATGTCAGAATCGGTAGCCAGCTCACATATAAAAAAATACAAAAATACATATACTGTGGTACGCAGCAGTTTCCAATTGGTTAACGACACGCCGAATGAATGGCAGAAGACCAACGTTAAGGTTCCGGCGAAATAACCATTAAGGCGTAAAAAACCTTATTCCGTGTTCAGATTGGGAATTGAAAATTTAATTGAACGGGATGATTAAAATAGCTTCAGTTTGCAAGTACAGTGAATCAAGGCATATGCAAAGAATACACAGCGGTTAGTCATAGTCTCAACTTTCGTATTAACAAAATTAATTACGACATGAGTTTTTCATCAAAATCCATGTAAGATGTTACTACAATTTCAATATCTTTATGTACAATTTTTACATGGATTGTAATATTAAATACCTACTTCTAGATTGTAAATATGAACATGTCCACTACTGTACGGAACAGCTCCCCTATCTAATATAGGGATATATAGGATAGGGTTTTGTACGGCATAAATCCATTATTGGATTGTGTCGTAAATAGCTTATCCATAATTGTATGATTTAACAAAATCATTGCACATGGTTGCGCCATTTTAAATTTAAGCAAATGATATACAACGTGACGCATAGCTAAAGAAAAATGATCTTGTTTTTCCGATTTTCTGTACAGCACAGTTTTTTTTACTGCGAAAAAAGTACAGTTGAATGAGATAAAAAAGCAATATTTCTCGAACGTACGGACGCTGCGTTCGACAACGATGACCTAATCAACACCAATTAATTTATTTACAGCTCTGGGAAGGTTAACGAACCTAGTCGCTTAAAAGAGAAGAAAGATGAGCACATAGTCAGCGATCGCTACAACTAATAGCCAGGCTAATGATTCGTTCACATTCAACTGCGCCGAAATTGGTACTGCGCCACAGTGAACTCGTCAGAATATTTGTTTTTGTGTTTCTTATGTTTCTAATTCTTTTTCAGGTAATCCGATTTCAATAATTGTTTTTATTTTAGAGGCCACACCTCAGGGCTCTTTCTCCTGAAATCATTTGCAGGTCAGAGAATCAACAAATTATCTATGGGCTGTAAAATATGTTAATATATTTAAACCGAGTATTCCAATACATCTATCTAATTCAAACAATGTAAGAAACATGAGCATATATTTGGATATTGATTACTCACTCTGTTTTATTCACTGCAACATGTTAAGGTTGTCTTATGAGAAAATGTCACTGCCAACAAAAAACGCCTCGAAGGGCACACACAACTTGAGAACGCCTTGACCTCAAGCGTATATCGCGTCGTCATATTGATTTATGCAGTATATTGGAAGAGGTAGCTTTTATAAGATATTTCGCTCGACACCGCTAATTGGGTGTCGAGCGAAATATGCAGAGGCCTAGCTTTGCAATTTGAGAGAGTTCCGCTTAAGAAATTACGGGTTTCTTTTAAAATACGATCAACGTTTTGAATATTTTGCAGCTTTCATTTTCAGTGGGCGTGAGTTGTTTGCCTTTATGGAGAGGACACGATTCAGCTGATGGTGAGTTATTACCAACGAACGTGGTCATCGAGAATTTAGAACCGTGTTAGCTCAGTGTGCGGACGCTACCTTTTAATTCGATATACTCGAGCAACCCGAGTTCAAATCCTGGTGTTAATTTCAAGTGCTGAATTATCACGTGCTCAGCGGTGAAGGTAAACATCGTGAGGAAAGCATATTATAATAATAATAAAAGAAATATATTTTATCAGATTAGTGAAGTTTGCCAATAATGTACAGTGGGGTCGCGTGTTGGACTATAGCATAATACCCTTTGTGGCGAGGCCTTTGCCCAGCAGTGGGACTGGTACTGGCTTTCACTTTACTTTTTATCAGGCGTGACTTGCGGTGCCAACCTTTAAGAGACCTAAACGAGGAACTAGGAGGACCTACCTGAACTGAGGAAGTGCAAAAACTAATGCCATTATTAATATACAACATTACGCTGGTCCTACGGGATCTGGTGGTACTTCCCGGACGAGCTGACACATTTTATGCAACTACTTCGTGGCGTTACCACAGTGAAACGTTCTGGTGCCGTTGATGATTTTCGCTACCATAACTGTGGTAGGGCCACGCAGCAGTCTCGGCTGTTGCACGAATGGGCAGGCTCGGCCATAGTACGTAGCAAGTGCCGCTACCTCACAGAAGACCGGCGTAAAGTGGAAGTATAATAAATACTTTCGCGTCTCGTCTGTTGAGTGAGGTAGCCGGAGCCTAATCTTCAAAAGGTTGTCAACGCATCTGTAACCCTTGGGTGTAGCAGATGTTCGTGAACCAACTGCTCGCTTGGCAACATTTCACATAAAAAACCATCAGTTTAAAATTAATAATTTAACATTAATGTTAAACTGATCCACTCGGAAAGTGCACCTTGAAGGTTTACACATTACATTTAAAATTTTTTTTTATGGAAAAAAGGGGCAAACGAGCAGGAGACTAGCCTGATGTTAAGTGATTACCGCTGCCCATGCGGTAAGTATAGTTATAGTTAATGCGACAACTATGAGAGTTGTTTTATACAATGAAACGTATTTTAATAGAAACTCAATTCCAGAAGTTGGTCAGGCGTGGGTTCATTGACCTGGATTAAATTTGTCCGCAAGAAATGTCTTCGACACGATTGTTTTTAACTTACAGAAAAAAAAACAGTTCATTTATTACACATAGGTAGGAAATAGAATTGTTAAATGAAATTAAAACTAAGTAAAAAAAAAGTAAAGTAACAGCCTATACATGTCCCACTGCTGGGCAAAGGCCTCCTCTATATAGAGGCTATCAGGGCATAGTCCACCACGCGGCCCCACTGCGGATTGGCGGACTTCACATATCTTCGAAATATTTTTTTTTTTTGTTATTATTTCGAAAATATGCAGGTTTCCTCACGATGTTTTCCTTCACCGCGGAGCACGTGATAAGTAAGCACTTAAAGTTAAAAACTTCATTGGTGCCGGCACCGGGGATCGAACTCAGGTTGCTCGAGTATATTGGATTAAAGGCGAGCGCCCGGACACTGAGCTATCACGGCTCAATTAAAACTAAAAATTTTAAATTCATTATAGTGCTAATCTCTGCACTTAAGACTGTACATTAAAATTTGTAGAAAAAGTACGAAAATATTGTCGCCGCTGTGGGAATTGAACCTACGTCTTCGGCATTCGCGGCCTGACGCTTTAGCCACTGAGCTAAACGGCTGATTGCCACACCGACGAAAATCTTTTCGAAAAAATTTTAATGAAATTAAAACTAATTAAAGGTTATTGTATTCTTAATCAATTGAAAATGTTTCTTTTATTGGTCATACTTAAATTATACTTTATACAATTGTTTGGATTGGATTCGACTACGCGTGATTACTTCCGCATACGGTGTTTACCTAATTGGCAAAAAAAGTTTAACGTACGTTCGGATGACCCTACCTTTGCATACAATACATCGCGAACACGCACGCACACAAGCCATAATCCGAGACGACTCTGGGGCCTCGTTAAAGTACAGTTATAAATGTAAGCTCCTGGTGACATTTTGCATCGGAGAGGATGCGAAAGATCGGGCGTCTCTTCGCTGTCCACGCTTTACCACTCAGAGATGATAATTAGCGCTGATTTAACTTACCAAGCTTAGTTTTATTATTATGCCTCCAAGGCCCTTAAATTGAATTAATTAACGAATGAAATATTTTAAAGAATTATGAATTAATTACAATTCGTAGTTGAAAATCGATTAAATAACTATATTCTCGTCTATGATTACAGACGGTTAGCCTTCTTATTTCGTTTACGTACTGAGATAAACTGTTATTATGAGATAAAAAAGTGTATAATATAATTATAAAGTCAAAGCCCGGCAATATCATGTGCGTTTCGCTAAGCACTACTTTAACGAGTTTGCACAAACTATTATAACATATGCGAAGTTATTTTTTATAATCGCTTACCGCTCTCTTCCGTTATGTGACGTGCGAGGTATTTATCAATTTTGTGAAACCAACAAAGCTGCATTCACAACTGCGTACGAACAAAAAACCCCGCCAAGTGCAAGTCGGACACGGTTCCGTACCATTATCTAAATAAAAATGGCAAAAAATATCGTTTCCATTGTAGTTGTAGTAGCGGCAACAGAAATACATCATCTGTGAAAATTTCACCCATCTGGGCGGACGGATGGACGGACGGACGGACGGACGGACGGACGAACGGACGGACGAACGGCCGGACAGGCAGTCAGACAGCTGAGTCTTAGTAATAGGGTCCCGTTTAGCCTTTGGTTACGGAACCCTAAAAATTGGCTGAAATCCGAATATAATATGAGATCTGTTGGTTTGTTACTTTCTAGAGATTCTATCAGTTTCGGCAAATTCTACTAATTACAATAAATGAAGTGACACAAGGCGTGGCAAAGGTGGTCTCTCGAATGAAACAAGACAATGCTAACAGAGAAATCATAGCATTGATTTTAGAATGTACTGTCACCATAGAATCTATTAGGTTGAGAGCAATCAAAGAACTGGATCTGCTATCGATATGCCTAATACTGTCAATAACGAACGTATTTACCTACTCAGAAAAACAAAATAAATTACGGTATTCACGTTGTAGTTGTTCAATTCGTGTTAATATTCCCGTTTTGTTTATAATAAATTACCATACAATGAAAAATATTTGAATTTTCTATGTTCACAATTTCTTGACCTCGTCTTCTTGTTTATTATATCGTTCGAGGACAAGTGTC